GTTTTGGGGGGGCTGTGACAGTTGTGGGGCCGTGGGGGGGGGGGTTGTGACTGTATGGGGACACAGGTGGCAGTGGGGACGTGGGGGTGCTCAGAGTTTTGGGGGCTCATGGGGGGGGGGTTGTAGCAGTGTGAGAGCAGTGTTGATGGGGGGGGGGGGGGGTGCTTGGGTGTTATAATAGGGGTGTTCTGATGGAGGGGGGGCACGGGTGTCCTGGGGGGGGTGAGGGGTGTCCTAGGGAGGTTATGAGGGGGGGGCTGTTTTTTTGGGGGGGGGCTGTGATAGCGTGGGGGCACAAGTATCAGTGTTGGGGGACACTCAGGTGTTGTTGGGGGTAACGGGGACGTCGTGGTGGTGGGGCACAGGTGGCAGTGTGGGGGGACACAGCGTTGTTCCGGGGGGGGGTCTGTGCTTGGGGGGGGTCTTAAGGGGGAGGTGTGACAGTTGGGTGAGTTGGAGGTCTGTTCTGAGATGGGGGTCTTGGATGCTTGAGGGTTGGGGTTGGGACAGGTGGGGACGCAGGTGGCGATGGGGGGGCACAGATGGGGGGGCTTGGGTTGTGACTGATGGAGAACGCGGGTGGCAGTGGGGAGGGGGATGTAGGTGTTGTGATGGGGGGGATGCAGTTGGCAGTGGGGATGTTGGGGGGGGGGCTGCGTTGGGTAGGGGGAAATTGTTTTGGGGATGGCTGTGCTGATATGGGGGAGTGGAAGGGTTGGTGAGTGGGACACAGTTGTCCTGGGGAGGGGGCTATAAGGGAGGGGGGAGCAAGTTTTTGTATAGGGGACTGTGGCAGTTTGGGGTCACAAATGGTGATGGGGGGGGGTGCAAGCTGACAGGACACAGGTGGCAATGGAGTAATGGGGGGTGGGGGTACTGTGCTGAGGAGGGAGAGAAAAAGTGTTTTGGGGGGGGGCTCAGGCAGTGGAGGGGTTTGTGACAGTTGAGGGACACAGGTGGCAGTGGGGTGGGGGATGGGTAGCAATGGGGTAAAGGTGGAGGTTGGGGTTGGGGGGACACGTGGTGATGGGGACGCCCACCCCCCTGCTTCAGGACTGTGCTGGGGGGGTGGAACGGGGACAGAGTGACACGAGGCAGGGATGCCACACCAGGTGACAGCTGTCACCAGGTGGGTGACATGGGGCTGGATGGGAGGGGGGCGGATTTGGACCTGTTTCCCCCCTCTTTGAGTTGGTTCAGCATCACTTCGCCCACCTGGAGACCCCAAGAACCCTCCGTTAACGAGCGGCCGCTAATGAGGAGTGGGAGCCTTCGTGATGGGAACATCAGTGATTCTGGGGGCTCTTTGGGGGCCGGGGTTCTTCCCCATGCAGCTCATCCCCCCCCCCCCCAGCCCCCCACGGCCCTTTGGAGCATCTCTGGGCTCGACGTCGCTCCGTTTCACCCAACGCTGCCATGGTGGAGCTCAGCATCCCCGTGTGCTGGGATCCCAGAACGAACGCTGCATCCCAACCCAACGCTGGATTTCCCATCCCAGCGCCGCAGCTTTGCGAGCCGAGAGGAGGAAGGAGATTTTAGGGGACGCTTCTCGACTCTTGGAAGGAGGAAAAACCCTTCTGCTCGATGCTGTCCTTAAAGCAGCTTTGGGAAGTTTTCCTTCTTGGACACACGGGGAGAATCTGCTGATTTCTCCGAGGGAGGAAATTTGCCAGGATCCCATTTGCAACCCAGCGTCTGCTACGAAAACGTCGTCGCCATGGAGGGAAACCATCGTGGATCTCAGCTCCAACCCAAAAATCCCATCGTGGTCGCTTGGAGCTTTTGGGAGTTTCCCCAAATTCCTCCTTGGATCGAATTCCATTGCGATCGTTCACTCTTTGCGCTTCTGGAGTTGTTCCCCAAAGAAGAAATCCTCGCAATCGAAGCGTTTGGATGGGAGAACCCAACCAAAAAAGGGGTAAAAAAAGCCCCCCAAAAAGGCTCCGAATGGCACCAGGAGCCATCAGGCCCGGTGCGGATCTCTCTCGGCTTTCTGGTGGGGCATTTCCCCATCCTCGGCTCCCAGGGAAGGAAGCAATTGTCCCCACTTAACCATTTTAGCATTTAAATTGTGGCGGTGCCGCTCCGCCTTCGCGTGGCCACGGGGCGATGGGTTGGGGGAGGGATGCTGCAGTGCTGCTCCGTGCCTCGCCATGAACGGATGCCGGGGAGTTTGGTGAGACGACTTTCGTGGCTTCTTTTTGCTTTTTTAGAGCCCAGAAATTGCCTGGGATTTGGGAGGGGGGGGGGGGTTTAAATGGATCGCAGTCGGGGGAACGGTTGGGTGATGCGACGGAAGCGTCCCCAACCTGTCCCAAACCGGGGGTCTTTAGGGTGGAGGCATCCGCTGCCTTTCCCCGTGGGTTTCTGAGCTGCAGAGGTGGCTGTGAGGAGGGGGAATCTCCCTTTTCCTCCCCCATCGGACTCAGAAACCCCAACCAAGAGCTGGGAGATGGAGAAGGGCAGCGGTTGGTCGCAGTGGAGAGGAGGGACACCAGCAGTCTTGCAAAGGGGAAAAGCCCCTTCCTGGAGCAGGGAGGCTTCAGCTCTTCCCCAAAGAACCCATGTGTGTGGAGGAGGGGGAGGAGAGAAGGGCCGTGGGTCAATTCCAGCGTGCCCAGCGTTGGTTTTGTGGGGTTTACCCAAAATCCAGGTTCCTTGTGACGTCGGGGTCGGTGCACGCGGGGCTGTGGATTCGGTTTGGGGTGCTGTAAGGCTGGAAGGGCCAAAGTGGGGCGCTGGAAAGGGAAACAAAAATTGCTCTTCAGGTTGTTTTGCTTCATTTCAGATTGTTTTGCACCCCTCGGGTCCCTCCGCAGGGACTCGTTCGTTTTGCCCGCACTCATTTTGCCATCAGCCCCTCCGTCGCGTCGCGGTTTTAGGAATGGGGTGACGCGTTTTGGGGTGATTTCCCTCCTTTTGCTCCAACTTCTCCCAGGGCTTTGGGTGAAATCTGCTCCTTGCTGAGCCCTGGGTGCTGCCTGGGTCCAATCCTGCTCCCTTCAGGTCTCTCTTTGCCACCTCTTATCGCTCACGGCACCCAATGCTTGGCATGGAGGCAACGGGCTCAACTATGGGCCATTGTTTTCCTCTGGCTCCTGCGATGAAATCGAAGCCTGCTCTTGAGTTGAGGGTGGGTTTATCAGCTTTTTCGGGGTGTGCTTCGATCTCGGGCTGAGGTTTGAGCCGTCCATCCGGCTGCACCTGGCCGATGCGATGGGAAATAGGGGGTGACACCATCAGGATGTCCCACGTCTCTCCGCGTCCTTCTGCAGCTGGATTTAAGCAAGAAAAAGGGGAGTTTTCCACGGGGACTGACTTGATCCTGGCTGAGCATCTTCTACCCAGCAGCTTTGGGACGGCGGCGGCGTTGGGTGCAAAATGCTTCCAGTTCCAAAACCCGATTTGGAAACGCAGTCATGCAGCGCATTTGAGCGTTGGGCGCCTCGGGGTCCCACTGGGTGCCCAAATCTCATCCGACTGCAGGACGGGTCTGGCGTAAAGGCGGCGACGGCACCGGATTTTGGGGTATTTTTAGGGTTTCTTTTAATCTCGCTGAGGACGGAGTAGCCCAAGAGTTGGGGCGCTTCGCCCCACTACAGGGGTGAGGGCAGCAAAGTGGCTTTTGAGGAGGAAAGGAGAAGGTTTTGGGGTCATCGCGCCACCGCTTGGCTCCGCCGCTTTCCTCCCACGGCCTCGGGCTACGGTGGCTGATAACAGCTCGAATAATTCCCTCTCTTCATTTGCATTGTTACCTTGAAGGTATTTATAGTCTCCCTGCCTTCTCCATCCCTGGCTGTGTAAATTTAGCTCCTTGCCTCTCCCCGGGTGCCTTTATCCAGGCGATAAGCTGCGCTTTTTAGCACCGCTTTCTTCTTTGTGGCAGAGATCTCCCTTCCTCCAGGTGATTCTCACCCCCGCCCCTCTCAGCCTCCTCTACAACTCGTGGGTTTGGGGGCAACGCGTTGGTTTTAGGGGGACGGACCCACCTGGCTCACTTGGAAGATCCCCAATTTGCTCTGATCCGTACGCTTTAACTCAACGTGGGGATGGAGGATTTCTTGTGGGTAATTTTGGGTCGGTGCCCATGACCGGGCTGCTTCTGTTCCTTTAACCCCCGCTCAGTGTCTGCAGTGACCCTCGGATTTTAGGAACCGGGGGTCTTTGAGGGTTCAAACTACGATCTTTCCGGCAGCAGCATTATGGGACTCGGGCACTTCTGGGGGGAAATAACAGGTTTGAGGGTTTTCTCTGGCTTGTTGTGAGGGGATGAATGGTCCCAAAGCAGAGGGATGCTGTCTGCCTTCCCTCTCTATGATGGGACGGGGAGAAAGCTTTGTATTGGTTGCATCACCTCCAGGACGGACCTGGCACTGTGCAAAGGACGAGCGGTGGGACCCGAAATCTTAGCCAGGGCTTGACTTGGGAAGCAGTAAATGAGGGATGAGCAGAGGGCAGCGTTGGGAAGAGCAGCTTGGATGGAGCCTGCTGGGTTTTCGGGAGCTGCTTGCTGCTCTCACAGCCTCCTCCGCCTCGGCGAAGCCGCGCTCCTCTCATTTTCCCCTCTCTTATCTCTGTTTCTCATAGATTTTTCCGGCTGTCCCTGGCCATCAACCCTCCCGAGTCCCAGCGCGGTGTTTTTTTCCAAGTGACACAGCACAATCAGCAAGGGATGGAGAAAGCTGTCCCTACTTTATCAGAGCAACAGCGAGAGCGCCAGGGAGATGGAAGCAGAGCCCTGCTGATGCCACTGGAGCCAAACAAAGAGAATTTCGCTGCCCCCGATTGCCCCCAAGGTGAAGAGCGAAGAGCTGCTTTTGTGAAAGATGCAAAAAAGCCTCTGGAGAGCGCGGCTCTATCTGGGACATCGGCGGAAGCGGGGACGGAGCTCGGCGAAGCCGCCTTCTACACCGCTGATGACTTGGTGACGATGAGCAGGGACACGAAGGGACCCTCTGGCACTGAGCTCTGTCCCCTACAAGAAGACCCCGTCTTCTTCTCTCCGCTGTCTCGCCAAGAGCCCGACATCGCCCTGGAAGCCTGCGACGTGGCCGGTGAGTCGCCTTGGGTTCTGCTGCGGGCTGGTGGCGTCTCTTGCATGGCCGCGGTTGGGTTTGGGGTTGCTTTGGTTTTGTCTGCTGGTTGGTTGGCAGCCCGGGTCTCGCTGGCGTTGCCCAGCTCTGGTTTGTGATGGTTCTTCCCTCGTGTGGTTTGGAGACGTTTTTTTGCCACGAGGTGTTGAGGATTTGGGGAAATGGAGCTGCGGGGGGGTGGGAGAGGTGCGGATTTAAGGCTTGGGGTTACGGTAAAATGAGGAAGCTGAGTGTATTCGTGTCTGGGTCCAGCAGCAGACAGGCGTGCCAAACCCCACTTGGGCCTTACTGGGGTCCCAGAATGGGACGCGTGCCATCACCCTCAGTGGAAGGCTATGAGCTGGCCAGGGAGCTGTCTTAGGAGCTCTGGTAACCCACTGAGGTCACATCTCCATCGTGGAGACTGATGGCACCAGGATCTGGTCTGTGGGAAGAGCCAACTCTCAACAGCTGGCACTGGAGGGCCATCTTGGAGCCCAGGTCTGACGGTTGGGACCCACCGTGTGCCCCAAAAGCTCTCGTGTTGGGTTGCAGCCACGTGTGCTGTGCGTCCCCTCGGGAGCTCAGGATGCGCGTGGGCAGCGCTGAACCCCCCTTGCTGCAGCAAACCCAACTTTTGGGCGCGCTTGGTGAGTCAGATCTGCCATCTGTGGCTGCTTTCTGGTATCTCTGGGGCTGAAACGCCGCCGCCTGCGCCCGGTTGGGTTGAGCATCTCTGTTACCTACCAGTGATCCCAATGGAAAATCCTGCTCCAAGGGATCTTGGATGTTGGTGAGCAACGGTGCTGTGCTTTTGGGATATTTTCTGTGCTTCCCCAGCTCTGTTCCTGCAGGGCAGCCCCTCGCAGCTGCTGCTTTTCCCTAAATCCCTGCTTTTCCAGCATCTGCCCCTCGCCTGCTCTGAGGATTTCCCTGTTTCTGTGCCATCCCTGCATCCTCCAAAACTTTGGCATCGTTTGGATGCCGAGTGCTGGCGGGGTGCTCGCGTCCACCCTGCGCGTTCACAGCCCTCCCTTCCTTCCCTCTTTCCTTCTGGGATGCTGGCTGGTGATTGGCCTCGTTAATTAACTCCCGGCTGGAAGGTGGCTCTCAGTTCCTCCGCTGCGGACAGCGGGTGGAAAATTAACTCACGGAGGGGGAAGGAGTGTTTGAAGAATGAGCAACGCGGGGCAGCCGGGCGTGAGGTTTAGGGCAGGGCAGTTTTCCTCCTGCGCTGAGCTGGAGGGCAAATCCTGCTTGGTGCTGAGCAGAATTCAGGGCTTTCTTCCCCTTAAAAATCCCCGAGGGAAGGCAGGTTTGGTGCGGAGCGATGCGCAGCGATCCTGGGTTCCCTGCCTTGCTCAGAGGAGCCTCGTGCTCTGCTTTGGCTGATTTCACCCGCGGCTGCTCAGGACTTCAAGAGCGCTGAGCCAAGGTTGGGAGCAGAAGGAGGAAATCCCGATGGAAAGCCTTTGCATTTCGGTGGCTTCGTGTCTCCTCTTTCCTCCACGAGAAGCTCTTTGGGCTCTGTCCTCTCCAAGCAGCCGTTTAGGCAATAAATAGTTTCAAACTGCGTTTTTCCTGGAGGGAAATGGGGATGCTCTGCAGTCCCCTCCCTCCTTTGGGGCTGAGGGAGCAGCATGGCTCACAGATCTCAATCCCAAGCCCTTATCTGCTGGCTGCATTTGCAACTCCCTGCACATGCCCTGCATCACGGGACCCTTATCAGCCCCGGCCTGGGGGGTTTCCTCCCCATATCAGCAGCATTGGGGCAGGGCTGTTGGAGCCGAGGTCGCTGCACGCTGAGCTTTGTGCTGAATTCTCCCTTGTCCTGCCGGTTGTTGTTCATTGTCCCCATTGTGTCCCCATAGGTGAGTTATCAGCATGGGGCAGGTTGGGATTTGAGGCTTGCTGAGGGGGGAAGCAGTTTGGGAATGGTGCCGTGAGGTTTCCTGTGCAGGGATGTCTTGCTTTGGGATTGCCGTGGCAGCTTCAGGTGTCCCCAGGTCCCCTCAGCAGTGGGACAGCCTGCTTTGGGATGACACCTGGGGTGTCACAAGATCCCCAATGTTGGGACATCCAACTTTGGGATCTGTGTGGCACTGTGAGGTGTTTCCACGATCCCCGACATCAGAGCATCCAACTTCAGGGTTGCTGTGGCAGTGTAGGGTGGCCTGAGGTCCCCAGCGTAGGGACATCCAGCCGTGATGGTGCGAGTTGTCCCCAGTATTGAGGCGTCCCTCTGTGGGATTTCTGCAGCGGCGCGGAGCGTCGCGAGGTCCCCGACGTGGGGGCATCCGTTTGGTTGTGAGGGGTGTCCCCAAGGTCCCCAGTCTTGGGACATTCTGCACTGGGCTGTGGTGTGGGGTGTCCCCAAGGTCCTGCACAGGACACGACTTCATCCCTGGGGACGCTTCGTAGCCGGCTGGAAAGCCCAGCTATGGATTTCCAACCAGTGCCACGCATCAAACTGGTTCAACTGGTTCAGGTTTGGGTACAGACGACACCTCTGTGCTCACCGGGCTAAAAAGGAGCATTTTCATCCCAAATCACCAACTGGGAGGATCAGCCCAACCCACCGAGGAAGATGAGAAAGGGAAGGAGGTGTTTGATTCATACAGGTCTGACGGTGAGGGCGATGCCCTGCTGGGCACAGCCAGCGTCCCACCTCCACATCCCTCCCTTTTCCCCACCTTTTGGGTTAATTTTTCCTCTTTTTCCCCTTTAATCCCTCTTTCTGCATCCCCTTCTCTTGCAAGAACCGCCGTTGCGGGTCGGGAGTGACTTTCCATTCATCCGTCTGAGCTCCGATCGAACTGAGATCACTCCTGGGAAAGGCTGAGCCCTCCTTATGTTGGTATTTTAATGTTTTATTTATTCTTTTTTTTTTTTTTCCTTCCTGCTGGAATGAAACTCAAGAGCCCACTGGAGCCCGGCGTCACGCCTGAGAGCTTCGGGGCCCTGTTTGCCTTTGTGCTCAGCTGGGATGTCGAGGGGCTGCAGGTTGGGGGAGATTTGATGCCAAAATGCACCCAGAGGAGTCACCGGACGTCTGGAACGGTGATGGGGTGCAGCTGTGTTTGGGGATCGTCTCCATCTGCGGCCACAGGAGGTTGGGGACGACGTCGTCCTTGGTTTGGGTCTTAATCACAGCTGGGGAACAGTTTGGCCGCATCCTGATGTTGGTATCTGGCCTAAATCCTCTGAGAAGAGGAGGAAAAAAGGAGTGACCTCAAGCTGCGCTGCTCTGTGACTCAGTTTCCCCTTGCAGCTCCCTTCCCTGCATTCTTTGCTACCTGCAAGCTGGAGAAAAACCCGCTGGGACTGGGGGCAGTGCAGCCCCACAGCGATCTGTTGGGCACGGAATCTGTCCTCGTGGGTGTCCTTGGTCCCCTATGGGCCACTGCTGTCGTGAAAGCAGAACTCGTTAGGGCTTTTCCAGGGTCATCCCACTGAACGATGGTGAGGTCACTGCGGGTTTGCGCCGCTGCAAGGAAAAAAACGCTGGAATGGAATTCCCCAAATCTGTGTAGTTTTTTGGGGGGTGGCGGCACAAAGTGCCTTTTTTGTGGAGGGGATGGGAGCCGAGACAGAAGGGCAAAGATGAGGTGTTTGGTTTTTTTCTCCACTCAAAAGAACGCGATCTGCACAGCGCTTGGGTAACTGAGGTGCCACAGGGCGATGGAGATGAGGGGAAAAGGCAGCGAAGCATCAGTGCTGCGAATGCATCTGGGGCACGATGGCGACTCCTCTGTGTGCAGGAAAAGTGGATAAACTGTACTTTCAGTGGGAAATTTGAGAGCCTCAGCTCTTCCGCTTGCTCTGCATTGGGTCCTTGGGCCTCCAGGAGCTGAATGCCAGATTTGGGTTGGTTTGTGTGGGGTTTCTCCTGCCTTGATGTCTTCCGAGAAGGGTCTGGTGATAAACGAGGTGACTCTGGTGATAGATTTGTTTTGTCTTGTTAACCTGGATGTCCCAGTTCCTTGTTGCAAAGTGCTGGAATGTGACCTGGGGGAAAAACACAGTTGGTTTTGCAAGGTGGATCCCAATAGGAAGTGGGAAATGGTGCCGAGGTCTGGGGCTTGGGCGGGGAGGTGAGGCATCGTGGCACTGATCTAGTTCTGAACTTCAAGCCATTGGAATGAGTTTTAGGAGTGTTTGAGGAGTATCAGAGGGAGTTTTTTTGGGGGGGAAACGTTGATTTTTGCAAGGTGGATCCCAATAGGAAACACTTCAGGGTGGGAAATGGCGCTTAGGGTTGGCCATGGTGTTTTGCAGAGAGCTCTTGGTTGAGTTTGTGTGTCCATCCTGGTCCAGGTTGGTGGGAGTTTGGTTGGAAACACTGAATGGACCCCCAGAAAGGCAAAGAAATCGGTGTAAGCTCAGCTTTGGGGCCGTGTGGATGTGTAGGGAATGGGGATGGGTGCCCACATGGAATGCATTTGGGAGATCCTTGAGCGGATCCTGGCATGGCCAAAACTCAGCACAGTTTCATCCCAATCCTTGAGCTCTCTCTTTGCTTGAAGACCTGAGTTTTGCCCCGCTGGGAGTCTTGTGGTGCTGCTCTCTGATCCTACCCCAAAATCACATCCCACTGCCCCTCTCTGTGTGTAGGGTCTTACACAGAGCTGGGAGCGCTCGGTCTGTAGGAGCCTGGAAAACTCAGCGAGGACACTGAGGAGGCCAAACCCTGCACGACCTACATTTGTCTGAGATGTGGGGCTGGTGGGAAGGTGAGACCTTGAGATGCTGTCCTTGTTCCTCATTTCAGGGTATTGGGATGAATTTTGGGGGTGGGAAACACGTTGGTTTTGCGGCACCGATCCCAACAGGAAGCGCTCCGCGGTGGGAAGCGGTGCTTTGAGTTGGCTGCGGGGCTTTGCAGGGAGCTCTGGTGGCCTCCAACCCTTCTCCCAAGCCCTTCCCAAGGCGTGTTTGCCAACGCTTTGTTTCCACGGCTGCCTTTGAACTCCGGCCAAGAAAGATAGGCGATCACAGGACGGAGCGAGCGGGCGCAGCTCACGCCGATCTCCTGCCTTCACGCCTGGGGCCGGTCCCTTCTGCCTTCCTCCAGAGACCTGAAGCCTTTGTGGAGTTTTGCTGCGTGGACGAGGAGCAACGTGGCGATTTCCCAGTGCGTTCTCCATGCTGATGGATGGAGGATTCCCTTTGTCGAGGAGCTGAGCGCGCAGTCCCGGTAACCTTGCTCGTGCCATCAGCCTCGTAGCCTGCGAGCGGTGCCAGGAAAGATGTCATGTTGTTGCTTAGCAAATAAATAACCCAACGTTGGAGTCCAAGACAACAGACAGAGCCGTAGCTGGAGCTGGGACCTGGAGTGCACTTGGTGATCCTACAGTTACGTGGCAAAAAACGCACGCGGCGTGTCCTGCAACGCAGCCTCGTGGAGGGGATCTCTCCTCAAAAAGGCTTTTGGGGTTGGTGGCCATCAGGATGAGGGTTTGGGAGCCAGGCAGAGGTTGGGTTGTGGGGTGTCCCCGTGGGGTGGGAGCTTTGCTGTGCCGTGATCCCCAAGTTGGCACCGAAAGAAAGGGACAGGAGTCCATGGGGGTGTTTTCTTGGCCCCTGTTGGACCCCGGAGCCCCAAAGGCGAGGGAGGGTGGGTTCTGCCACCCCTTGCTGTGGGGCCGTGCAAGGAGCAGCAAGCAGCTGCTGTGCCACTCCATGGCAGCTATAAATAACGTCCCCAGGCCCGGTCCCCTGTGCCGCTGCTCGCGCTAACGGGGCCGTGGTTTAAAAATAAGCCAGGGGCAGGGCTGCGGGTTCTCCTGCTGCTGTGCAAAGTAGGACGCGGCCACGTCTGTCCCCTGCTCTGGGTGTAAGGTGGGTTTGTGCCGTGCAAAACCAGGCTTGGGCACGGGGCGAGCCTTTGGCCTTGCGCCTATAAGCTGAGGGTGCAGCGTGTCGTGGTTTGGGGGCTGTTTTTGATTCTACCCCACGGCCCAGGCTGCTTCATCCAAGCCTCCAGATGTCCGGAAAAACTCAGCAAACAGCTCAAACCTGTTTTTTTGTTTTTTTTCTTTGATATCAGTTGGGATAAAAACTATCTGGGAGTGAATAGAGGGTATGTGGATGTGGCAGTGACCCTTTTTGTAAGGCAGGGTCAAGTTGGGGACAGAGATACCGTCACCTTTTCCCAGCCCCAGCACAATGAGCTCATGCTTCGGCATGGGGCCATGCTTATCCTTCTCCAGCATTTGCTGCTGAGGAGGAAATTATTGTTGAGTTTACACAGTGTATGCTGCACCACGTACGTATTGTCATCAGGATGCTGGATTTGATCCGTTCGCTGCTTTGCAGCATTTTGGGGGGGGGGGGGTGGAAATAATTGGTTTTGGGACATGGCGACCTTGATGTAGGAGATGTGGGGGAGCTCATCCGATGTGGGTTTGTTGCTAGGGTGGGACTGAGCTGCTGCTTCCCTTCCTCTGCTGCTGCCCCACTGCTCTGTGTCTGGTTTGTCCTCCTCGTAACTGTATTGTCGGTTGCATTATTCTAGTTATGCATTATTACAGTTATTGGAGGTGTGATTATTGTTTAGGGTTGTTTATGTGATCAAAATCCTCCATTTTCTCGCTGTCTCCCAGAAATCACAGCCGTGTTCTTCCCCAGTTTGCACCCGACGGTCTCCACAAATCCCTTGCAAGCAGAACCATGTGAAAATTCTCAGTTCATCTCCATCTCCCAGCTGGTGTTCCTCCCAATGGCCAATCCCTTCTTTCTCATCCCGGGATCGGTTCCATTTTCCACCTCCGTGATGGTTAGAGTCTTTCTCCACCTGAGATACTTAGATGGAGGAGGGATCTTAACAGCATTTGGGTCCAATCTTGGTCCATCTTCCACCTTGCTGGATCACCGCGACGGTGACCCTATGGGCTCCATCCACATTGGTGACCCAATGGGTGATGGCCACGATGGCAACCCAGTAGGTGATGGTGAACCAGGGGGTGATGGTTGCGATGGCAACCCCATGGGCAATGGTGACCCAATGGGTGATGGCCATGATGGCAACCCCATGAGCAATGGTGACCCAATGGGTGATGGCCATGATGGCAACCCCATGGGCAATGGTGACCCAATGAGTGATGGCCATGATGGCAACCCCATGGGCAATGGTGACCCAGCGGGTGATGGCCATGATGGCAATCCAGCAGGTGATGGTGACCCAGTAGTCGATGGCCATGGTGGTGACCCAGTGGGCGATGGCCGTGATGGTGACTCAATGGGTGACAGTTGCAATGGCAACCCCATGGGCAATGGTGACCCAATGGGTGATGGCCATGATGGCAACCCCATGGGCAGTGGTGACCCAATGGGTGATGGCCATGATGGCAACCCCATGGGCAATGGGGACCCAGTAGTCGATAGCCATGGTGGTGACCCAGTGGTGATGATGACTCAGTGAGTGATGGCCATGATGGCAACCCAGCAGGTGATGGTGGCCCAGTAGTCGATGGCCGTGATGGTGACTCAATGGGTGATGGTTGCAATGGCAACCCCATGGGCAGTGGTGACCCAATGGGTGATGCTTGCAATGGTGACCCAGTGGGTGATGGCCATGATGGCAACCCAGCAGGTGATGGTGACCCAGTAGTTGATGGTTGCAATGGCAACCCCATGGGCAGTGGTGACCCAGTGGTTGATGGCCATGATGGCAACTCCATGGGCAATGGTGACTCAGTGGGCATGACATCAGTTGCCATGATGGCAACTCAGTAGATGATGGTGACCCAGTAGTCGATGGCTGTGATGGTGACCCAGTGGAGATGATGATGGCCCAGTGGGTGATGGTTGCGATGGCAACCCCATGGGCTCTGTCCATGATGGCAACCCAGCGGGTGCTTGCTGTGATAATGCACCTCAAATGCTGTGTTAAGTGTGGGCTCCTCACTTCAAGGAAGGCACTGTGGCATTGGAGTGCGTCCAGAGAAGGGCAGTGAAGCTGTGAGGGTTCTGAAAAACCAGTCTGATGGGTAACGACTGAAGGAACTGGGATTGTTCCATCTGGAGAGGAGAGAAGGTTCCGACCGAACATTAGGAAAAATCTCTTCTCCAAAAGAGTGTTCAGGCATTGTCACAGGCTGCCCAAGGCAGTGGCAGTGTCACCATCCCTGGAGAACCGTGGCCGTGTGGCATGGAGGGACGTGGTGGCAGTGGGTTGACTTGGTGACCTCCGAGTTCTTTTCCAACCTTAATGATTCTATGGTTCTGTAACCCAGCGGTGCTCATTGGTACAACCCCACACTTGGCATCCTTGAGAGCTCGTCCCCCAGCCAAGGCCCAGTCCAGCTCGTTGGCATAGCTGTGTGACAGTGGGATTAACGAGCATCCCCAGCTCCTGGCTGCAGTCGGAGAGGACAGCTTGTTAAAGGCTGACAGTAGCAAACAGTGAGAGGCTGATCCCGATGGCGAGAGGCTGATCCCGCTGGTGAGAGGCTGATCCCTGCTGATCCCAACTGAGGCCTTTCTATGGCATTACAGCATCCAAAAATCCCTTTAGGTCTCCTCACGCTGCCAATACAGCGAATAGACAAGAGCTGAGCTCAGGACTCGCTGTTGTCACTTTTTAGTTGATTGATGATTCAGTTGATTTAGCAGTGGTGAAGCCACCGCGTGCCGGCAGGCAGAGGGAAAAAGTGGATCAGGGTGTGGGATTCAGGGTTTGGAGAAAGGAGGCGGCGATGGGAATTGGGAATTGTGTTCATGGCTGGTGAAACGGGGCCACTTTGATGGGAGCTGCGCGCGTGCCGAGGTCTGCTGGAAGCTGGAATAGGGATGGATCCAAACGAGAGGAGCTTGCAAAAGAGTCTGGATGTCTTTCAAGCAGCCTGGAGAGAAACAATCCTTTCATTTGGCGCTGGACTCGTCCTCTGCTGATGAGGAAAGTTTCAGCCACCCGCCCCATAAATCTTGCTTAAAGCTGGATGGAGCAGCGAGGGGTTGAGAGAATGGATTTGCTGAGGGCCCTGATAAGGAGAGGGTGGGGGAAAGGTTTTCAGCAGCTGGGAATGGCCTCTGAAAAGGTGAAAGGGCTGAAAGGAGACCGTGTGCCTGCAGGCAGCGCTCGTTGGCACTTGGCTTTTGTGTTTCAAACAAAGCTCTGTGATGGGAGAAAGGCAGGCGTGGAAACACCTCGGGGAGAAGAGCCCCGGGGCGTCCATGGGGTAAAAGAATGGGGCTTGGGGGAGTTTTGGGACTTGGGGTTGCATTGCTAGGTTGAATGGGATTGGAGCTGTCGTGATCAGAGCACAGCAGAGGAAGGAGCATCTTCCTCCTGCTTTCTTATCCAGCCCTGGGACCGGGCTGCTGAGAGCCCCGAAACCTCCAAACTCAAACTCTTGTAAGCTTTGGACATCTGGACGCAGCCTGCAGCCTCTGTCAGCAGCCATTTTGGGCTTCAAATGATGGATTTTCACATTTTAAACAGCGCTGCGGTCAGGAGAGCAGAGTTGGGTCGCCATTGGGTCACCACCACCCGTTGGGTCGCTGTTGTGGCGAGACTCCAGCAAGGTGAAAGATGAACCAAATGGGACCCAAAAGCTGTTTGGGATCCTCCTCCAACTGAGCGTCCCATGGGGTGGTGAACCCGAAACACAGTGGGGTGGAAAATGGGACCGGGGTGAGAAAGAAGAGATTGGCCCTGGAGGAGGGGGAAATGGAGACAAGATGGGAATATTTGCAGGGCGCAGGGCTTGGGATTTGCTTGGGAGGTTTTGGGGGGCACCGGCTGCAAAGTGGGGAAAGAACACAGTTGTGTTTTGGAAGGCAGCAGGAAAACACAGGGTTTTGACCACAGGAACAGCCCCGAACGATAATCACACCTCCGGTAATTAGAATACATCTGACAACTCCAACGAGCCCTCGGACTCCATCCGGTGGATTTTCCCCCACTTCGAACAGGAGAAAACCCAAAGGAAACCCCAAAGCGAATGCGTGTCCTCTGCCTCTGCGTGCTGGGAGGGGAGAGCAGCGCAGCGTCGGGTTCCGCACGGCCGTGCCAAGCCAAACACGCCACGCTGCTCGGCCGCTCGCGGCGCCAACCGCTGCTCCCCGCGCTCACACCTGTTTCAGTTTCGATTAACGCGTTTGCAAGCAGAAAAACCCCTCCAGAGCGTTCCCAGCTCCCCCCCGAGGGCTCCTGGCCGGGCCAAGCGGTGCGTTTTGGGGAGAAACGGGAGCTTTTTCCGCCCGGGTTGGATTCCAGCAGGGAGCAGGCGCCTGCGGAGCGCGCTCGGGTTGCTGACAAGGGCTTGGCTTTGCTCTGCTGCTGCTCGGTGGTGCTTTGCAGAGCCGGCTGTGCACTGCAGGTTGCAAACTGTGGTTGAGTTGGGTTTTTTTTCTCGTGTTTTTTTTTGTTTTTTTTTTTTTTTTTTCTTGGTTTGTTTTCACCCCTCTCCTCCCCCTCCCCCCCACCCCCCAACTCTATGAGTGACTCGTGACTTCAGTGCAGTCACTGAGGTCTTCTACTGTGCAGCTTGTGAGCTTCCAGGAGCCTTTTCCCTTCAGCTCATCCTAATTTCTTGGCTCTTTTGGGACTCCCCTTCCTCTCTCATTGCAGCAGCGATGCAGAACCCCAGGGTGATGCAGGATTATCACCCCGATGCTGGGACGGCATTCGGCTCTTCGTCCTGGCTGGCAGCACCTCCTCCTCTTTTCTCTGGCTCTGTTCCTTGTCAGATTGACCCCCTTCTTGGAAGAGAACCCCCACTGGTTCTGCCTTCTCTCTGACCTACGAGGGTTGGAGGGACCTGGGATGAGGTTGAGGTTGTGGTGTGTCTGTAGGACCCGCAAACGCTGCCCTTCCTCCCTGCAGGGGCTTTTTCCTGGTGGAATGAGCTGCTGTGTTCCCTGCTTTACCTTCTTCCTCTCGCTGGATTTGGCCCCGGCTCCACTTGGGGTTGAGTGCCGCTCATCCCCCCAGGGGAGACATCCCAGTGCCACGATGGGCTGGGTGCCCACATCCCCATCTCTCCCCCCCACATCCCCATGGAGCTCAGCCTCACTCAGCAGCATCGCTGCTTCTCCCCAGTCCAGATGTTCGCTCGAGCTCTGCGAGATCGCAGCGGATCCCAAAAACATCCCAGGCAGCTCCGACAGCACTGTGCCGGCGCTTCCTACAGCTCCGTCCTTCGGCAGCACTGCTTTATTTTAGCTTAGCTCAGTTGTTTTTTGTTTGTTTGCTTCCAGCTTGCCGCAGCTTGGGTGCTGTTGTGAGAATTAGCTTTGGTGTCTATGGGTGACGACTGTTCCTCCCGCGCTCTCAGAGGGCGATGAGTTTGTGCCGTCCTGCAGGTCCCCCTTTTGGAAGGTTGGTGGATCTGAGCTGGAAGAGAAGATGTTTTCACGAGCGTAGATGGATGCCAGAGTTCTGAGCTTGCTCCAGATCCTTTCCAGAAGGGTTTGAGTAGGATTTCTGTCTTGATGCAACGTGTTCTGATCTGTCCAGACCAGCTGCAACGCTCTCCGGAGCCGCTGGATGTTGCGTGCCCAGGCACAGCCGAGCTCAATGCAGACCTTGGGCCCACATTTCGATGTATTTGAGTTAAGCCTGGGCGTGAGACAGCGATGGCAGAAAATCCTACGAAGCCAAAACGGAGCGTCTGGTGGAGAGATGCAGCAACAACCCCTTTGGGGACTGAGAGCTGGAGGGATTGGGACCCACGCGGTGCCATGGGAGCGGGGTGGGTGGGAGCAGCCCCACGGCTGAGACAGAGCCTTCTGGAGCCGGGGTGAGCTCGGCTGCTGAGTCAGCACATCAGCGCCCTCCCCTCTCACTGTGCCGTTCCCCACCTCCTGCAGCCCTCCGCAGACCACTTCCTGAGCAGGCATTGCCTTTGTAACCGCTCGGGGGGGAGCGCGTTGTGACACGGGGACAGAACGACCCGTGCGAGAGAGGAGCACGTGGTGGGGAGCCGGCGTGAGCTGTCGGGGCGTCCAGGTAAGGGGAAAAGCACATCTGTGTGTGTGGGGTCCAGGCGGCGCACGGGACGCATGGATGGGAGCGTGGTTCCCCACTGCGTGGCTCAGTGCGCACGGGGTGGAAACGTGCAGGCTTGGTTTTAGGGGAAGTGAGAGCTGGGGGGAGGCTGGTGCTCACCCTGAAGCCCCTTCTGTTGGAGTGGTTTTCAAGGTTTCCTCATGGCCGTGGATGTGGCCATTGCCAAGCATTGCTGGTGGATGGGGAATGCGGGATGGCTGTGGTCTTGTCTCCATGATGTTGTAATTCAGGGTGGCTTTGTTCTGGATGCGATCCGTTCTCCATGGTTTCGTTCTGTGTCGGGGTTCATCCTTGTTCTGTGGCTGTTAGTTGTGAGTATTTGCATCTCTTCTCGACTTTAAAGCATTTCAGTGGTGCCTGGAGGTCCTCGTCTCTGGGATTCCTCACGGTGCCGGTTCCTCTTGCCACAAGGTCTCACCTCGGTGGGACCAGGATGTTGTGCTTGTTGTGATGTTCCCTCATAGCCATGGGGTTTCCCGAAGCTCAGTGGGGCGGCACAGTGACCCATCAGCCAGGCAGACCTGCTCCTCTTCATTTCTCTTTTGGATGGTGCTCCTGCGACTCATGTGTCTTCCCAAGCCCTGAGTGTGGAGGGAGGGAATAGAGGAGATAGAAATTTTAGGGGGTAGAAATAGGATTTGACACTTTTGCTCCTCAAAGCAGGCTCGGGCCAAGGGCTCGCTGAGTCTTTGAGAAGGGCGAGAGGCTCGGAGCTCTCAGCAGCAGTTGAGTTGGGCGGCTTTTGAGCCTCGCTGCCTTTTTGGGTGTGGAGAATTGAGCTGGGCAGCTTTGAGCCTCATTGCTTTTTTTGGGGAGAGTTGAGTTGGGTGCCAAAGCCAAGAGCAGGTTGCTCGTTTGCTTCAGCTGGGACAGTCTCCAAGCATGGATGTTTCGCGCGTGGTTTCAGCAGGGTGGGTGGCTGTTGACCAGTGGGAGCTGGTCTGTTGGGTCGCATAAATTCAATGAAATTCTATAATTTCACGCTGCATTTATCTTGTCTGTACGACCCTTCATCTCGCTTTGGGTCATCTCCAGATCCGTGAAGCAGCTCAAGGAGCCAAAGGGACCAAGTATGGATGGTTCTGCTCCTACTGCAGCTCGCCGTAGCCTGAAAGAGTGGATTGGGCACTGTCTGATGGATGGCAGCAACCAGAAGCATGGGATCCTTTGGTTTGTTAGTTCTGAGCCGCGTTTGGAATGCTGTGGTTTGGGCTCTTTGCAGCGATTTTTTTTCTGCTTGTGGAGCAGAAATATCAGTGCTTTGGATGCTGGTTGCTCAACCCTTGGGTTTTCCAGCTTGATTTCCAGCTCTGCATCTGCAGCACAAACGGAACACGTAAATGTGACTCGCAGCCCCGTCCCCAGCTCCGTCAGCAGCCGGCCAAGCTCGAGTCAGATGAGACGCGATGTGCTGCCAGCACGCCGGGCTTTGAAGAGCTCCTGTCCTCAAGGTCACCTGCCTGGGGGCTTAGGAGTGTCCTTAAATACAGCCCTGAGCTGCCATCGTGCAGAAAGAGAAAGAAACGCATCCCGTTTCCGTCTGCGGCCGGCCGGGATCTTTCACCAGTGCCAGAGGAGGAAAGCTGACCCCAAACACATCCTTCTTCAGGAGGAAATGTGAAATTCACGGCTCTGCCCAAGTCTTCTCGCCAGCTCATCTGTATTCAGGAGCATGAGCAGAATCTCCTGCTTGCTTCTGGCAAAGCCACAGCAAAGGGACGTTGAACACGATTGTCTTGTCCTGCCCTGGGGAGCGTTTGGATGTGCATGCGTGACACAGTGGGATGATTCCTGATGGAGAGAAGCGATGCCACGCTCTTGGGATGGAGCAGAATTTGCTCTGAGGCAGGATTTGGAGCAGGAATACCATGAGGGATATTGAGGATTGATGCTGTGCTCTTGCGATGGAGAGCAGTCCACCCAGCTTGGAGATTTGGGGTAGAAAGGCCATCAAGGAGCTTAAGGAGCAATACCATTCTCTTGGGATGGAGGAGTGCTGTGCCCTGCTTCGAGTTTTGGAGCAGAAATACCATTGAGGATCTTGAGGAGCAATGCTGTGTCCTTTTGGTGGAGAACAGTCTACCCTAGTTGGGGATTTGGGGCAGAAACACCCCAGTTGAAGAGTTTGAGCAGCGATGCCATCCTCTGGGGATGGAGGAGTGATCTGCCCTACTTGGAGAGCTGGAGCAGCAATGTCATCAGAAAGTCTTGGTTTGGGTTTGCAGGACACCAGGCTGCTCCTTCGGGTGCCCTCAGTGGAAGGGGGGTGTTGTGGTGCAATTCTCCTCTTGCAAAAGGGAAAGGCTCTGCATTCGTGTAGGAACTGCAGCTCCTATTAATGGTGAGTGGGGAGAAGAGCTGTTACACCCTTTCCCTTTTTGTGTGTGTGTGGAGTTGCTTTGTTTTGCTTCTCAGCCCAAGGCCACGCATTCCTTGCGCGGGAACCTCGTTGCTCTAGTTTGGAAAGAAAAACACAAACCTGTGCCATCCAAAGCGGCAGCAATGCCTGCTGTTGGGGCAGTGGCACGGGGCTGCAGTGTTTTCCACGGGGCTGCAGTGTTTTCCCACCGCTGTGCCGCACCGTCTGCTGTTTTTCTGGCACCGTGGGTCACTGCTGCGTGTTTGGACTCCAGAAAGCCACGCGTCAAGCCAAAGATTTGTGGTTTTTCTTCCAGGCTATTTACAACACGCAGAAGCTGCCGGTGCCAATGAGAGAGTCTTCCAGCACCATTTGCTCTCAAATTAAACGCCCAAGATGAAAGCTTCATCCTGAGCAGGAGCTACTCTTTAATTCCAGGGCTAACTCATGCCTTGCAACATCCTGCATTACACAGGAGATGATGCAAGACCTCACCCCTTGCCTAACCCTTGCTTATAGCCTACTCACTTGCCTAATATCCCCCTGCTCAAATGGCAGTAGAGGAACTAAAATACCTCTTTTTGCCCTGTTTAGATGGCTGGAGGAAAAAAAGAAAAAGAAACACACAACAAAACACCACAGGTTGGTTTGTTGCAGGGTTTTTGGAGGTGGTCAGCTTGTTTGGGAGGCTCTTGGAAACTTTCAGCTTGTTCCAAAAAGTAGTATTGCAAATTCTGGTCCAATTTGCTTGATTTCTTCTGTTTTGGGGAGAGTCTGGTTTTGGTCTGCGCCAAGTATTCACCCTCAGGAAGAGCCCAGTTGATCGGGAGGGCTGAAGGCTGGGCTGAACCTCCCTCCCTCCCCATTCCATATTGCTGAGATACAGAGTGCAGACGGGCTTTGGAGGTCAGGTAGGCATCCTCCCTGCCATCCTGGAGGGTTGTGTGGTAGAGGGGAATCCTTCCAGTGCGTGCAGATGATGGACCTTACACAGATTTTCAGCTTTTGAAGTTTAGGAAATAATGTTTTTATGGATTTCCTTTAAATCCTCACTCCTGCAGGCTCCTCTGGGCTGCTGCTTGAGACCTCTTTGGGAGCTGTGTATGAGACCTCAAGGAAAATATCATTTCTTGGTTGAACTCTTCCAGAGCATCTCATCATTTCTAGCTGGGGTAGCGCTGAGGGAAGCCACCATCCAAAAGACATCATTGCTTTGAACCCTGAGCTTAGGCTATGGCCACCTTCAGAATTGTTTGAGTTGTTCGAGCCGCGTGCGGTCGAGTTTTGAGCGCCTTCAGGGGTGGAGATACCTGCGTCCCACAGCTGGGCCGTGGGAAGAGTTTCCTGTGTTGTGACTTTCTTTTCTTTTCACTGTGCGTGTCCAGGAGGGGTTTGGCTCCATCTTCACACCCTCCAGTTAGTGGCTGTAGGCAGCACCTTCCTGCCCTCACCTGGAAGCTGAACACTCCCAGTTTTCCCCTGCTTGTCTCCATTTATTGAGTCCTTCTGTCACCCATGGCTGGGGGCCTTTGCTGGACTTAGTTTTTTGGACGTTGGATCCACCAACATCACTGCAAGGGCAACACTATTTGAAGAAAAAAGGATCCCAGGGTGGGAAGAGCCTTTTGGTGAGCCTTTGGGTAGAAAGGATCCCGTAAGGAAGACCTTCTTGGAGATCCTTTGGGTAGGAAGGATCCCATAGAAAAGAATCCTTGGAGACCCTTTGGGTAGAAGGGATCCCATAGAAAAGAATCCTTGGAGACCCTTTGGGTAGGAAGGATCCTATAGAAAAGAATCCTTGGAGACCCTTTGGGTAGAAGGGATCCTGTAGAGAAGAGCCTTGGAGACCCTCTGGGTAGGAAGGATCCGACACTTGGATGTGGAAAAGCACTTTGCAGCGTGTCCTTGTGCTGCTGGGTGGTGGTGGTGACGGTTTAGGTGAAGCCATGCCTTGTGAGCATGCTGTTAAACCTCTGCTTATCAACACTGCCTGCAGTGACCTTGGTGAAACGGAGCGCTTTTGGCCCCAATGGTGATGTCATTATTACTCAATTTGTGACCTTTGAAATGAGTTTTGCGAGTAACCTTTGCTGAATGCATCTGGGAGTGGGTTCACCGTGTGTAGGAGAGCTCCTGATCCCGGTGTAACCGTTCCACACTGGGAACAGTGCTGGTTTCCCTTATCTCTGCCCTTTGTGTGTGTTTTGGCTGCTGCAAGCTCACGTGTTTGCTTGATGTTCGAAAGCGTCTCGGTGTCTTGGCGGCTCTCATTCTCGGTGTAGAGGAAAAACCATAGAACTGTACAATTTTACGAGGTGGGAGGGACCCACAGGATCATCAAGTCCAACTCCCCGCTCAGCATGAGAGCTCCCAAAGCCCCAACCCTGAGCGTGGTGTCAGTCTCCTCTCAGCTAAACAAACCAAGTGGCCCGGGGCTGCTCCTCGTCTTGCCCTCTAGACCCAACGCCGTCTTCGTGCCCTCCCCTGGATGCCCTCTGACGGTTCCGTGTCCTTTTTATGTAGTGGATCCATCGGATGAGAGTGGTTGACCTTGTGGCTGCCGCGTTGCTCTCCTGGGAGAAGCTGCAGTTGCTCTCCCGTGGTCGGAGGAGCAGCTCTCACTGGATTACCATAGAGGGTAAACGTGAGCTTGCTAAGACCAAGACATTAAACTCCCTCATCTCTCGCTGTTTCCAAGAAACCAGGATTTGCAGGGAGCACAGTTACGTGCTCATCAGGAGGAAGATAAATCACGGCGTGTTTTCCTCTAAAGGAGACAGCTGCTAAAAATAGGAGCCACGCTGGAGCTCTGCGGAACAAAGAGCCCCTGGAAGGCTCCTGCCCGTCCCTTCACCCGACCGTCCCCTCCATCAGCTTCCCTTCTCCTCACGGTCGCTTTCGGTTTGATTCTTTTTGGAAGCGTTTTACGGTCTGCCCGTTCGGGAGGGTTTTCCCATCCCTTCCCCCACGTGCCTGGCCGGGACGGTCAGTGACTCAGGCTTTCCTGAATGAACACTATTCGTCCCCCGTGACCTCACAGCTTGGCCGTGCATCCCAACGGGCTTTTCCAAAATGCTTCTGAAGCCAAAAAAAAACCTGAGCTGCTGGAGTTCAAGGCCACCTCTCTGCGTCCTCTGGTTGTGCCGATGAAGGATCGCCACGGTGGCCCCATCCAGGTGAAAGACCTCAAAACCCATCATCTCCTTCTAAGAGATCCTCGCTTTAAGCTTCTCACCTCCTGTGTGCTTCGCTTGAGATGTTAGGGTGGAAAACCGGCGATGGCTTTTCACGTTCCTGTGCCTTGCCTCCTTCATCTCCATAATGGTGGTCCCAAATTCCTTGGGCCGTCGCGCTCGACTTCTGGCACATAAGCAGCAATCTGCGAAACAAACATGATCTACAAGTGGCTGCAACAGTCAGGGAGGGGATGGAGGTCAGCTACGTTCATAAGAACCGTAGAATATCCTGAGTTGGAAGGGGCCCATTGGGATCATCCAGCCCAACTCTTGGCTCCGTAGCTGCAGTGTGCGCATGGCTCTTGTGCCCAGTCCTCTCTCTGCTTGCAGTCTTGTCCAGGCGGGATCCACGCATCCTTCTTGGACACCGACAAAAATTTTCCCACTTCTTCAGGGCTGCTCCTGGTCCATCTGAGCCCAGTAGAGCTCAGCAGGATTCACCCGTGCGTTGTCAGCCCCCAAGCAGGGTTGGAGATGTGTGGTCAGCACCACCAAGCCCGGAATGATGCTCAGCTGTGCACCCAGAGAAACCAGAGCCCATGGGATGCCGTCTGCTTTGCAGAGTGGACAAAACCAACCCCTCCAGGTTGGCAGGAGCGCGGCTGGAGCCGTGCACATCTCCCCTCTCGCCTGCTTAGTTGCAGGAACGATTATCCACCAAATACTTTCGCGCGGGATTAAACCCTCTTAAGTGTGGCTCAGCAATCCTCCCGTAATCCGGACCCGGCCGTAGCAGGACAGGGCAGCAGGAGCAGAAGGGGTTGATCTGCTGGGAAAGCTTTTTCTTTCCGACACCCAAATCACGTTGATTGCAAATTGCGCTGCAGGAGCCTCACTTGGGCACTGACCTTGGAGCTTTCCTCTCTGTTGCAGATGAGCCTGATCCTGCCCTCTCCGGTGCTGTCCCAGCCCCAGCTCACAGGACCGAACTCGGGTAAGTGCCCTGGGGATGTTGCAGAGCATCTCCCCTTGCTAACAGCACAAAACCCCCAAATTTCTGCTTGGCTGTCCCCAAAGAGGGTCGTCCCGACCACCAGGCCAGCGCCATTCCCTTTCTCCAACGCACTGTTGGTTGTTCCCACGTAGCTTCATTTCACCACTTCCCACCATGACCCCCTTTCTTCTGCCCGTCCCACTTCGCCCCTTGGAACGCCTCAGTTCTGCTTTGCTCTCTTGGGGCCATCCCTGGCGCAGGGGGAAGAGGCGGCTGCTGAGATGGGCGTCCCCAAGCTCCTTGGGGTGTCCCTAACACCTCTGAGCACGCTGGAGAAAGCAGATCGAGTGGTGGCAGCCCGAGGCTCCTTATGGGAATCGCTCTCCCTCAGCTTTCGCTCGGTGACACAGCCCATGCCTGGCACGTTTTAATGGGTTTATTTTAGTATCTGCTGTTGAATGATCCTTCCTGGGCCAGCGGTTTCCTTAGCGAGTTATTTTTAATCACGTTTGTGGTGCATATGGGAATCGCATTTCCCTGCTACCACACCGCAGACGATGGAGAGCCCGTCCTCTCAATTTCTCTGTGTGTTTACGCAAAAGAAAAGAGAAAAGGGGAAGATTCGGAGCCGGGAAGGCAAGTGCAGGAGCTGGTTTGCCCCTGAATTCTGCGTGTTAGGAAATAGGTTTAAAAATGATGAGAAGTGCATGGAACTGTAAGCCCTGCTGTCCCTAACAAAGAAAGATGCTTTGTTCTCCTGGCAGCCTGACCCGTGAGATAGTGTTCTGCTGGCCTGGGGCAGCCCCTTGCACAGCATCTTGAGTCCTTGGGCTCTTTGAGGCTCAGGGTTTCTTCCCTTGGGAGTGGTTTCAGCAGAGCACCAGGACGTGGTGCTCTTGGCCACTCATCCCTTCCATCAGCACGGTGTGGATGGGAGTTTGTGGCACCCTTAGCTCCTCTGTCTTCCCATCTCTGCCCCAAGCCTTGGGCCGCGGGTTGGGGTCTGCTTGCACCTTCCAGACCCCACTAAGCTGCCAATGGAGATGTCCTCTTCCTCCTGTGTGGGCCCTGTTGGTGTTGGGCCTTCTGTTCTGGTTGAGATTTGGGTCATGACTGCTCTCTGGGCGCATCTGGATTGCTCGGACTCTCTTCAGAATCCTGAATATGGTCATCAGGTGCTTTTGGATTTCTTGGTTTCCCTAGTGAGCCTCCCACCACCCTTGCAGAAGGGCTCGATGCTCTGTCTCACTGTGCAGATGTCTCCAATCCCTTGGGGCATCCTGAAGAACATCGCGTACCTTCGTTGCACCTTTGCGGTCCCCTTTTTTTTCATATGGGGGAAAAAGCTTCCAAGCCCAAACATTGGACTTCAGAAGCCATTTGGTTTGCCCATGGGTGTGCTCTCCAGAACCCAACACCTCTCTTTGCTGTGGTGGTGGTGTCAACAGCACCACCTGGTTGGCCTTGTGCCACCCAGTCCACCAGTAGAGTTGCCCCACGGAGACTTGTTTTCCATCTGCTTGATGGGGTCTTGCTAAGTTTGGGGTCCTGCTGAGGATTTGAGGGAGGAACCAACTCAATCCGGTGTGATTTGAGGGTATCTGCAACAGGGAGGAAAGATGGAGGATGGTCAGCGTTCCCCTCCTGTGCAGCAGAGAGAGAGTTGCAGTTCATGATGGGGACAAGTTGTCCTTTGGTCCCACAGGCCTTTGGTGTGGTCCACGTTGGCACGTCAGTCCTGTTTTTATGCAGCTCACTGTCCTGCTCTTTGACTTGTTAGCACCACGCATCACCGTTGGGTAAAAGGCCAGTGGCCAACGGAGGGGGGGTGGGATGAGTCGTCTTTGAGCTCGTTTTTTTTTTTCCTTTGGTCTTAAATCCTCGATGTTTGGGGCGATACAGGAGAAACATCGCTGTTAACCAGCCGTTAACTGTCCAAACTTCTTTTGCAGCTCCAAGACCGAGGAGCATTTAGAGTTCCAGAAGGCTTTGTACAGAGCAGACGCCAGGAGCTCCCTGGAGCTGCGTGCCATGACGGTGTCCGGCAGCGTGCCCTGGGATACCTCCGCCCTGGAGACGCGAGGAGGCGATGGCAGAGAAGAAAGCACTTTAGAGAGACTCTCTAGCTTGAAGGACTCAAAGGATGTGTCGACATTCCCTGGGGATCCCCAGGTTGTAAATACGGTGCGGGTGGATCCTGAGGACCTGGAGAGTGACGCCGAGGAGCTGGGTGCTGGCATGGCGGCAGCCGGGATGCCCAACCCTTGCATGGGGCCGCCGGTGGGGGGTGGGGAGGAGAAATACCTTAAACCTGAACCAAAGCAACTTGAAGGTGTCGGCAAAGAGCACTTAGAGAAAAGCAGGAGGGGGACACAGAGGGTCGACTGGATTTCTCGACCCAACAGAAGCCCAAGTCCTCACTACAAAGATGTGAGCAAGCCGACGGATGTAGCAACCAACGTACCCTTCCGGGGACAGGCTGTGCGTGAAGTGCCTCCTCCGCTGACTCCGACGGTGTTCAGGAAGTCTCTGAACCCTGTCCTCAGCAAGTCCAAAACTCTCGAGACCCCCTTGTCCCACAGGAGGGGGCTGGGGGTCGACTCGGACGCGGGTGAGATGGGTGCGCTCAGCGCAGCTGAGTGGACCATCCCAAAGCCAGCTCTGCAGCTCAGCACCGACCTCGCCATCGGCAAGCAGTCGTGGACGGTGAATTCTGAGGATTCGGTGGAGAGGATCCCGCTGATGTCCCTGGAGCCCACTCCCTGCAGCTCCTATGATGTGGAGATGAGGCCCTATGTGTGCAGCGTGCTGGTGGAGGAGCAGGGCAAAGAGGAGCTGGGTCCTGAGGAGGATCCCACGGTGTACACGTGCATCGAGTGCAGCATCTACTTCAAGAAGAAGGAGCACCTGATGGATCACATGCTCCAGCACAACCGCGGGCCAGGGAGGGACCAAGATGGGGATGCTCTCGGAGGGCAGTGCCAGTTCTGCTGCAATGAGTGCGGGTGGGCCTTCGGGGACCTCGCGTCCCTGGAGCAGCACAAAAGGCTCCACCAGGAATCCAGGGAAAAAATCATCGAGGAGATCCAGAAGCTGAACGAGTTCCCGGATGAAGGTCGGGAAGCCCGGCTGCAGTGCCCCAAGTGCGTCTTTGGCACCAACTCCTCCAAGATCTTCGTGCAGCACGCCAAGATGCACGTCAAGGAGAGGAAGGACCAAGGAGCGAAGAGCCTGAATCTCTACGGGAGCGGAGAGCTGCAGGATAGCCCCGTGCACAGCATGTACAAACACTTCAAACCCAATGAGCACCTGGCCCTGCAAGTGCAGGCGCCTCCACACGGCAAAGGGCTCAGCACCTGCGTGCTCTGCAGCTTCCCGGCACCCAACGAGAACATCCTCAAAGAGCACATGAAATACGCCCATTCCCACCTCTCCTGGGATGCAGAGGTGTACGAGGAGGATCCCAACCAACCGGGAACCAGCAGGGATGCCTACAGCCCCGCCAGGACAGGCTGCTTTGCAGAGACTGATTATTTTGGCAAAGCAGACCAGCTCTTCCCTCCGCCCCACCGAGAAAGCGCGTCGCATTACGACGTGCACAGTTTCACCGTCGATCACCCACGACTCAACAAAAGCAACGGGGGCAGCAAAAAGGACTACGTGACGTCGGGGTTCCATGCCAGGAAAGCGGCCCCGTACGCTGCCCGCCACAAAAACCTGGGGCTCTCCTCCACAAAGGCTTATTCGCAGTTTGCTCTGCAGCACCTGAAAAAAAAAACAGCAGCTCAGCAGCTCGAAGCCGAAGGCGATGGTCTGAGGAGTCACTCAACTGGACTGGAGGAGGTCAGGCACAAATGGATGTTTATCAACGAGGTGGGGGGCGTGGAAGGGGAGTTTTCCATGGCCGCGGACACGGACTTGATGGAGCACAGAGTCACCAAACCCGTCACCATCCCTCAAGCTGCTTTGGACCTCAAGAGGACGTACAGAGACACGCTGAGAGCCACGGACCCTTTGATTGCCTCCGAAGAGCAGCAGCAGCAGCTGCGGATGATGGTGCCCATCGTTCTGCTGGAGGAGGTCAACCCACACCCCAAAGCAAAGAAGCGGCCCCGGGCAAAGCCCTACAAGAAGAAAACAGCATTCCCGTCGCGGGAGTTCATGATGGAAGAGCCTCTTCCCTTGGATGTGCTCCTGTTGGACTCTCCTTTAGAGTTTGATGACTTTTTGGACTCCGACTCGCCCATGTTGAAAAACGAGGAGAGGAAGTGCCCGTACTGCCCGGATCGGTTCCACAACGGCATTGGGCTGGCGAACCACGTGCGGGGCCACCTCAACCGTGTTGGGGTGAGCTACAACGTCCGGCATTTCATCTCGGCGGAAGAAGTGAAAGCTATTGAGCAAAAATTTTCCTTCCAAAAGAAGAAGAAAAAAGGTAGTATGTATTCAATTTGCCGTGCTTTCTATTTTCTTGCTTTAATCGGTGGGGTTTAGAAACCGCCCCCTGGACTATGGGTACGTATGGCGCCGTGGCCAGCCTTGATGGCTATGGTGCGTCTCATGGCTCTTTTGGGTCTAACAGCCCCCTCCCAGAGGCTCGATCCAAACTTTTACCCACTGATTCTGTCCTTCTTTCCTCAGTTGCAAACTTTGACCCGAGCACGTTCAGCCTGATGCGATGCGAGTTCTGCGGGGCCGGCTTCGACACGCGCGCCGGGCTCTCCAGCCACGCCAGGGCCCACCTGAGAGACTTTGGTATTACCAACTGGGAGCTCACCATCTCGCCCATCAACATCCTCAAGGAGCTGTTGGCCAACTCGGCGGAGTACCCCATGCTGCAGGCGGCGGTGGGAGCGGAGCCCTCGTCCCCGGGCCGAGAGCCGCACGGCTTCGTGCCCCGCAAGAGCATGACCCCCATCTCCGAGTGCAGCATTCCACGCTCTCCTCTGTCCCCATTCCCCCCATCCTGGGGAGATGAGTCCTTGCAGTCCTACAGAGACGGTGAGTGAAGCCACAGACCCTTTTGCTGGCCAACTCCTCGTGATCCTTGGTGCAGGGGACGGATCGCTTGGTGGAACCTGGTGTTGATTTGTGCATCTCTGTCGTTGTCGTCGTGCTGGGTGAAGTCTGAGCCCCGTTTGGGGCAGGTGAAGGTGTGGTGATGGAGAGGTTGCCTCCTGCTTGGGTGGCAGCTGTGCTTAGGAAGATGATTTCTGTCAGCGAAACTCATAAACCCAGAATGCGCATTGGGGTGTTTGAGGCAGAGGAGCGTGCTTTGGGATATTTGGGACAGAGAAGTGTGTGTTGGGTGTTGGGGCCGAGTGTGGCCACCCTGCTCTTTACCCACGTAGAAGGTGCTGTGTTCACCCCTTGGCTGCTCGTTTTTTCTAGATGTTCTCCTAGGGGGAGATTGAGGTTTGACCCTTTTGGGTCTTAGTGAGGCCCTTCCATCAGCAGAGCCCCCAGAGCACTCATGGAGCAGCACTGGGTTCAGAGCAGTGGCTCTTCCCAAAAAGCTTTCAAACTTCCCCCAAAAAGCAGACTTGGCACAAAATCTTTGCAACAGCAGCGTTCTCCCAAAGGCTGGAAACTTGCTCGCACGCTGCGAGAAAGTGACGTTGGGTGCTCCATCACTTGGTTGAAGTCCTTCTTGTGGAGGTTGTGCTTCTCACTGCAGGGATCCATCCGTCTTCAACTGAAATATCATAAAGCTTGTAATCCCTGCTCTCCATAATGAACGCAGATGAGCACAGCCAATGCCAGCTCTTAATTCTTAGCTTGAAAGAGCTGGAAGACAAAGAGCTCCAAGCCCAGGGCAGGGGCTGATGCCAAGGAGAGAGCTGAGCGGGGTTCCTGCTGCCAGTGGCTGATGCTCCTATTGTCTGGGGCAACCATTCAGAAATTTCTAGGTGCACGGTGCCCAAAATTCACATGAGGCATTGTGGATAGTGCTTGAAAGCTCAGAGTCTGGTAGGGATGAGTGTTGGGAGGTGTCACGGTGAAGGACCGCAGCCACCTTCTGCTCGTGAGGGGGAGGCTGAAGCAGTTCTGAACATAGTGAACTGGTATCAGATGTCCCCAGTATTAAATTTAAGGGGAAAAAAAAAGAAAAAAAAAAAGGATTTGTCTTGAGAAAAGAGATGTGTGTTGAGCTGTTGAGCTAGGATTTTGCCTATGGGTTTGGCCAGCAGTGTGCAGCTTTTTGGTGTGTGATGTTGGGAGCATCTCCCACTCCATCCCGTCTCCATCTCAGGTTGCAGAGCGGCAGTGGGCCGGAACCCAAAGCCAACTCACCAGAAAGGTGACAAACCTCACCAAAAACAAGGAGGGGAAGGGAAGTGCTGCTCCCAGCTCCAGGGCTGTGCGTGAGATGGCTGCGTGGCGTCGCCGGGCTGCGCGGAACAGACTGGACTCCTGCAAAGCATCTGAGCACACAGCTGTTGGGTTGAGGTTGGGGACGTGGGGAGGTTAATCTGAAGGGGATGGGGGCAGGGGGTGCTCGATCTCTTGATCTGTGATGGGGGACTTGGGGATTGTTTGAGGCATCCATGGGTTTGCTTGAATCGCTTGGGGTATTTCGGAGCGCTGAGAGCAGCGTGGATCTCAGCAACCTCTCCCACTGCTCCCCGATGCTCTCTGCTCGTGTTTTATGCCAATCCCATCGTTTGCAGAAGGTTTTAAACACTGTTAACGAGATTTGGGCTGGGAGCAAGTTGGAGTGAGCTTCTGGAAGGTCTCTGCTTGCATCACAAGGGGCATCGGGCACTGCTAGAAGCCCAGACCAGCTCTGCAAAAGCTGACTTGGTGTTTTCTTATTGTTACATTCTATGGTTCTATGATTCTATTGGATCTTGGGGTAGCACCGAGCTCTTAGCAGGAAGCTTGGTTGAATGGTCCAGCATCAAGGAACTGATCCTATATCCCTGCTGGCGAGCATTCCAAAATGGCGCTGCCCCTTCCTTCCCTTGCTCGTCTCCTCCCTCTCTAAATGGAATGAAACCCCATTTAGGTGGCGCTGGGGGGTTCCTCATGGCAATGCTTTGTTTCTGTTGGCGCAGCCTTTAGGGAGCAGGTTTGGGGCTGCAGATCTTGCTTGTTTGCCAGCATTTTGGGCTGCCAATGGCTTTCTGTGCATCTCTGAGCGCAGAGCGGGTGGGCACAGGTTATGGCTCTTCCAATTTCCAAGAAGGGCAAAGAGAGAAGCCCCGGTAATTATGGAGCTGTCAGTTTCACTTCGGTGCCCAGCAAAATTATGGAGAAGATTATTCTGTGTGTTATTGGAGGGAAAAAAAAACACCTGCAAGACAACATGGTCATTGGTCACAGCCATCGTGCACGAAGGGACAGCCATTGAAGGGACAGCCATTGAAGGGACAGCCATTGAAGGGACAGCCATTGAAGGTCACCCCGCTGGGGGGTGAAGGGAAGGGGATGGAAATGGGTTTTAATGATTTTTGGCAAATATTGAGGCTTTCTGGACAAAACAGAAGCACAGAGCTGGATAAATGTGTCATGTGATGGCTGAAACACATGTGATGGCAGATGTTGGTCGTAGCCAACACGCATGGAGGGGCAGCCATGTCCTACGTGTCCTCTTGAAGGTCACCCAGCTGGGGACAAGGAGAAGGCAGTGGAGGTGTATTTTTGGCTTTTTGTTTTGTTTTGTTTTTGTTTTTAATGAATTTTGGCTAATATGGAGAATTTCTGGACAAAATATCCAGCGTAAAGCTGGGTGTGCACATAATGCGTTGGGTGCACGATTGGGTTGTTGGTGTTCAGGATGCCTTTGGATGATGCTCTGAAGGTTTAACTCTTGGTTGACTCTTGGCTGGCCCCAAAATCTCTCCAAGAAACCCTAAAACATAACTCACAACCGAAATTAGGGAGTCCAGTACTGTGAGGCCAAGAGCTGGGCATTAGGATCCCTTCCAATGGAGAGTAATTCTAGTTTCAAGTACCTCACAGCTTCTTGATGGATATTTGGAGAAATGAATTCTTTACAAACCGTTTTTCTACCATGCAGAACACACCCAGTTATTCCAAATGATGGGCACCACAGTGACCAGGCCAGAAGTCTTTGGGGTCATTTCCCACCAAACCCAAACAATTCCCTTTGTCTCGCTTTGCCTTTCGCTTTGCTTCACCGTGTTCAGCTTCCAGCTTTGTCCTTATCCTCCATTTCTGCATCTGTTCTGTATATTTTTTAAACTCTATTCTGTATGCATTCTCATCTAGAATTCTGCTTGAAGGTTTGTTGCCTTTTTACTGGAATCTCTGAGCCCATCTCTACGCAGCTCTCCCCACGTCTCTGACTCCCATTTGGGGCACCGTTGGATTTGGGGTTTTTCCTTCCTTCCAGCTTTTTTTCCATCATTTTCACCTTAATTTAATTTTGCCTGCTGGCGTCTTGGGTTTTTCTTCCCCTTGTCTTCATGGAGTGGCATTGCCCTTCCTTGTCTTCCACTTTCTCAACCCATCCCTGACCTGGGCACTGGGCTGGGCTGCCAAAGAAGGGCCCCCACTGCCAGCCCCTTCCCCAGAAGAAGGGCCTCCAGGGGTGACCTCTTCCCCAGCACATTGGAGCTTCTTCCCCTTCCAGTTGGAGCTGGAAGTGGGCATTCGATGCCAATTATTTTCAGCACGGCTCTGATTTCCATTCTGAGCTTGGCTTTCTCTGGTTGTGGCTGCCCCCCCTCTCCTGCAAAGGAGAAGAAAAGGAGTCGAAATCAAAACGCTGGAGCTTTGTAGACGGGGTCTTGTGTCTTTCCTCCCATCCACGAGGCTCGGCCCGAATTTGCTGCTGAAGAATGGATGTCAGAAACCCTTTGGATGTACCTGACCCCATCAAGGCCACCTCCAGAGCCAGGTCACAAAGCTCAGGGCTGTGTTCCATTGAACCACGTCCTATTGAAGTTGTGTAGGGTGGAAGTGACGCCCCCTCCCCTGTGCCCTGAGGACCCCCCTCGTGCTGCTCTCCTGACCTCCTTTCCGCAGTCTTTCATTCTTTTCTTGACTTCCACCTCATTGCAAAGCTCTTGTTGGCCTCTTACTTCTCTTCCTGCCCTACTTTCACGTGAGCTGAGCTACGGCCACAGGAGATGGCACCTTCATCCAGGTCTTTCCATGCAGGAATTTTGGGGTGATGCTCCCTGGGGGCAGCACCCCGAGGTCGCAGGAACCCCTTCCACCTTTTGGTTGTGGCAGCAATGATAGGGAATCAATTTCTTTCTTAATGCTTTGGGTAAAACGCGTTTTGGGATAGCTGGAAGGAGGGAAGCTTGATGCTGGGGGAGCTCTCAGTTGCTACGAGCCTGAAATACCGCATGACAGCCCCAACCCCAACCAAACACTGAATGTTGCATGTTTCTTGCTTTCTAGGACATAGGAACATCACTTATTTCTTGCACTTCTTCTCATCCCATCACATTTCAGCAAGCAATACCTCGAGGTCTTCCTTCCCCATGCGTTTTTCCAGCTCTGCTTCTCTCCAAGCCAAGGAGAGCAGTTCCACCCCGTGGTTAAACCCGTCTGAACCCAACGCGGATGGCCAAAAGGAAAGGCAGCTGGCACGCGTGGGTTGGTAGCAGAGCCAACGAAGGGAAGCACCGTGCTGGAAACCATGGGTGGGATGGAAAGCGCAGCGCAAAGCTGGCCAAGCCTCTTGGCAGAGCTCTGCATGCCTGGCTGGCCAGCAAAAACTGATTCTTTCATCCCCGTCCCACATGGAGCCAATTAGTAGAACGGCGACTGCGCTCCCCGTGCCCCTCATCAGTTCCTCGCGCTGTAGGACGATGCATGGAGGAGCCCTGTGGGATCCATCTCAAGGTGCTCAAAGAGTCGGCTGATGCCATCGTGTCCCTTATTATTGTTTTGCTTCATGGTCTTGGGAATCTGGAGCCAAGAAGGGCAAGAGAGAAGCCCCTGGTGATTATAGGGCTGTTAGTCTCACTTCAGTGCCTGTAAAAATCACAGAGGTTGTTCCAGGAGTTGAAAGCCAACAGTAATTGATCACAGCAACGCGGGTTCATAAGGGGCAAGTCCTGCTTAACGAACTTAATTTCCTTTATGACGAGGTTACCCACCTCGCTGACCAAAGGAATCCAGGCGATGTCATCTTTCTTGCGTCTCAGCACCTCTCTGCTCTCTGCTCTCTGGTGGCTCGAGGGAGCGGCGCGGAGCTTTGTAGGGGATGCTGTCAGATAGCAGGAAAAGGTTCTTCAGCAGGTGGTGGCCATGGGTCAGATCGTGGGGCAGTGGCCCCGAGCTCACGGAACGCTTGGGCACCGCTCTCAGATGTAGGGTTTGGGTTTTGGGTGGCCCTGAGCGGGGCCAGGAGTTCTCCAAAGGGAACTTTTGGGGCGGGTGTGTGGAGTTATCTGGGATGTGGGCTGTTGTTAAAAGGTTTCTCTCCGATATTCTGCGTGCGCCACGTTGAGAATTTGGGTTGGGATGTTGCACTTCAGTAACAATTTGAATCTCTAAAAACTTCATTGTGCTTGGGTGAAAATTGGGTGTCCAGGAGAGGTCTGGTTTTCTTTTAGCTGTGCTTTCCTCTCCCACTGCCTCTTCTTGGGTGGGGGTTTGAGTTGGTGGTAGAGTTTTGCTTTGGCCATAGGGGGTCAGCGTTGGCTGTAGGGGGCTGACATCAGGTAGGGTTCTGTGTTGGCCATAGAAGTTGGCATAGGGTAGGGTTTTGTGTTGGCTGTAGGGTTTTTTGTTGGCTGTAGAGGTTGGCATTGCATAGAGTTCTGTGTTGGCCATAGGGGGTCAGCGTTGGCCATAGGGGGCTGACATCAGGTAGAGTTCTGTGTTGGCCATAGGGGATCAGCATTGGCCATAGGGGGCTGACATAAGGTAGAGTTCTGTGTTGGCCATAGAATTTGGCATAGGGTAGGGTTTTGTGTTGGCTGTGGGGTTTTGTGTTGGTTGTGGGGTTTTGTGTTGACTGTAGGGGTTGGCATTGCATAGAGTTCTGCGTTGGCCGTAGAGGTTGGCAATGAGTATCAAGGTTTGGAGGTTTTGCACTGGGTTTGGGGGTTTTGCCTTGGATTCGTGTTTGACATTGGGTGCAGAGTCTTGGGGTTGAGTAGGGTCTGGCTGTAGGGGTGCACGTTGGGTGTTGGTAGGGGCTTGGTGTTGGGTTGGGTGACGTGCTGTTGGCTGTTGAGTTGCATGGCCCCGTCAGTGGCAAAAGCATCTTTTGGGCTCCGTAACCAGCTTTTACCTAATAGATTCTGTTCCATTGCTTAGCACCAGGCAGCGTGTGGCCGTGGCTCCCTTCTCCCACCCCCTGCTGTAGTGGTGTGGTGGTTGTTGCCTAAAACCTGAGGCTCTTGGCTGTGGTTGTGGTGGTGCTGTTGCTCTGGTTTTGGGATCAGTTATTCTTGTGAGAGGAGCCGTGTTTCCAGGGAGCTCTTATTGCCCATTCTGTGAAGATTTGAGTGTGTGTTGGTGCATTCTTTGTACCCTGGGTGTCGTGGAGCATGGGCAGTGCCTCCGGGGATGGCGTGTGGGCACAGCAAAGTGCTTTGCTTTTTATTAGTGTCTCCAGCAGAAACCAGCTGGGGCCTTACGTGTGGGGTGTGAGGGGACACGGAGCCTGGTCCTTGTCCTGGATGGGGGGGGCTGTGAGACCCTGTCTAAGCCCAAGGGGTTGGGTGGGTGACTGGGGTGTGGTGGGGGGACCTGGGGGTCGCTGAGCAGGGCTCCCATCTATGGGTCTGCCCGTTCATGGGGCTCTCCTGTTCCACCCACTGGGGACTGCCCCATCATTAGGGGCTTCTCTGCCCCCTCCCCTTCTGTGAGTCTTCTGTGGGGTTCTCTCTTCCATTTGGGTCTGTGCTTCCATAGGGCTATCCCATCCATGGGGCTCCCCTCCCTACGTAGTCTCTCATCTGTGGGGTTGCCCCTCCATTATGGGACGCTCATCCATTGAGGGTTACCATCCCTTCCATGCCCTCCTTCCCCCACCGTTCTATGGGACTCCCATGCATTGGGTCTCTCCCCTTCACTGGGGCTCCACTCTCTCCAGAGGTCTCCCGGTCTATGGGGTCTTCACTGGGGCTGTCCATCCTCCCTCAGTGGGGGTTCCCATCCCTTCCATGTCTCCCTCTTCCCCTCCCATCCATGAGATTCCCATCCATTGGGCTTTCCCATCCTTTCCATTGGGTCCCCCCCGACTATGTGGCTTTCCCCATTCACTGAGGTCCTCCCCCCATCCATTGAGGTCCCCCCTGTGGCTCTCCCCATCCACTGGGGTCCCTCCCCCCTCTGTTGCTCTCCCCATCCATTGAGGTCCCCTTCTCATCCATTGGGCCCTCGTCCATGGCTCTCCCCCATCCATTGGCATCCCTCTCTTGCCTCTCCCCATTCACAGAGGTTTCCCACCCCTCCCCCTCCACCCATTGCCCCTCTCCCCTCCATGGCTCTTCCCATCCATTGGGGTCCATCTCCCCCCCGGCTCTCCCCATCCAGTGGCACTGTTCATCTGTGAGTCTACCCCCACCCACCAGGACTCCCCTCTATGGGGAACTCCCACCCCCTTCCCCACCCCACCACCATCCTGTCCCTCTCCCCTCCTTTCTCACCCCACCCCTCCCTATCCTACCAACATCCCCTCCCCACCACCATTCCCTCCCCCCCTTCCCCTCCCCTCCCCTCCATCCCCCACTACCAGCCCCTTCCCCTCCCCACCATCCGTACCCCTTCCCACCCCGCCCCACCTCACCGACGTCCCCTCCCCTTCCCTTCCCCACCATCCCCTCCCCCACCATTGCCTCCTCCTCCCCACCATCCCCTCCCTACCCTACCAAAGTCCCTCCTTCCCTACCACCCTCTCTCTTCCCTCCCTTTCCTTCCCCCCCTCCTTACCCCACCAAAGCCTCCCCTTCCCCACCACCCCTCTCTTCGCCCCTCTCCCTTCCCCATCATCCCCTTCCCCACCACCCCCTCCTTTCCCTCCCCTCCCATCCCCCGTCTCCCTTCCCCACCATCCCTTCCCAACCCCAACCCCCCCCCCTTCCCCACCCCCGGTTCCCCGCTCGATTTCTCGGCTCTCGCCCCCCTCCCTGCGCTCCTTCAGCGCCGATCCCGGATTGCGGCTCCGCCGTTCGGCGCTCGATTGGCGCTGCCCGGGGCCGCCCCGCGCGCCGCTCCAAGATGGCGGCCTCCACCTCCTCGCCGCCCAAAGTGACAAAAGCGGCGGCGGTCCCGCGGCCTCGAGACCGGGACCGGGGTGGGGACGGCGAGACCGGGCCCGAGGCGACCCCCGAGCCCGGTGAGCGGCCCCTCCCCCCGGCTCCGCCGCCTTCTTCTCCCCGTCGCTCTCGGCCCCACCGCGGGGCCCGGTCCGGGGCTGAGGGAGCGCGCTGCCATTCCCGGCGCCGCGCCGCGCTGTGGGGTGAGGACAAAGGAGGGCCGCGGCTCCTCCCGGGCCGTGACATGGAGTCGCCGCTGCCCCACGGCGGCCCCGGCCACCAACCCAGGGTCGGAGCCCCACAGCCGCCCCGCAACGGCCCCCAGGCCCCACCCCTGGGTTAGGCCCTACGGCCGCCCCAGGCTCTGCTCCGAGGTTGAGCCCTAAAGCCACCCCATAGCAGCCCTAAAGCCGCCCTATAGCAACCTTAAAGCCACCCTATAGCAGCCCTAAAGCTGCCCTATAGCAACCTTAAAGCCACCCCATAGCAGCCCTAAAGCCTCCCCAGTGTGGCCCCCAGACCCCGCCCTTGGGTTGGGCCCTACAGCAGCCCCAGATCTGGCCCCACAGCAGCCCCAAGGTCTTCTCTGAAGTTGAGCCCGCAGCTGCCCCATAGCAGCCCTAAAGCCGCCCCATAGCAGCTCCCAGACCCCACCCTCGGGTTAGACACCCCAGCAGCCCCAGATCTGCCTCACAGCTGCCCCAGGCCCCACCCCTGGGTTGGGTCCCACACCCCTGCCCCACAGTGTGCCCTGGCACCACCCCTGGGTTGGGCTCCTGAGCTGCCCCACGGCAATGCCTTGGCTGCCCCGCAGCGTCCTCAGGCACCACCCTGGGTTGGGCTCCATAGCAGACCCAGAGCCACCTCCTGGAGCTGTCACCATCCCCCCACAGAACTCTGTGTTCTCCCACACCTTTTCCAAAGGGGTTTCAGTAAGGAAAAACCTCCTTTCCCCTCACCCAGAGGGACTGGAAATACGGAAAACCCCCTTTTCCCCTCCCGTATCTTACTGAGGGGTTGGAAATAGGGGAAAATATCCCTTTTTCCCCTCTCGCACAAGGATTGGAAATGGGGGGAAAAAAGGCCCTTTTTTCACCCCCAAAATATCATCGGGGGGGTTGGGGCTGATGATTGTTCTTCTCTCGGCAGTTCTGGCCCCAGAGGAGGAGGAGGTGGTGGCCATGGAGGTGGGTTCCCCCCCACCTCCCCCTCCACCACCGCTGCCCAAGAAGAGCTCAGCCCCGGGGCAGTCGGAGCCGCCCGCCCGCATAGGGACCAAGCTGTGCGCCGAGCCGCCCGGCAGCAAAGCAGATCCACACGACCCCAAAAGTGAGTACTGGCAGCACTCTGCCCCCAGGGGAAGAGTGAGGAGGTGTTGCTGGGGCTAGGATGGAGCTGGGCTCCGCGTGTGGTCGTCAGCTCTGGGAGCTGTGGGGTCTGTGGGTCACTGGGAGCCAAGAGGGGCTTGGTGGAGCCTGGTGAGAGGTGTCATGGCCGTGCTGCGGGTGTTGTGCCCCCTGAAAACTTGGGGGCGTTGTGCCCTGAAAGCCCAGGGATGCACTGCCCCAAAATTGGGGGCATTGTGCTCTGAAAGCCCAGGGATGCACTGCCTCAAATTGGGGGTGTTGTGCCCTGAAAGCCCAGGGATGCACTGCCTCAAATTGGGGGCATTGTGCTCTGAAAGCCCAGGAATGCACTGCCTCAAATTGGGGGTGTTGTGCCCTGAAAGCCCAGGGATGCACTGCCTCAAATTGGGGGCATTGTGCTCTGAAAGCCCAGGGATGCACTGCCTCAAATTGGGGGCATTGTGCTCTGAAAGCCCAGGAATGCACTGCCTCAAATTGGGGTCGTTGTGCCCTGAAAGCCCAGGGATGCACTGCCCCAAAATTGGGGGTGTTGTGCCCTGAAAGCCCAGGGATGCACTGCCTCAAATTGGGGGCATTGTGCTCTGAAAGCCCAGGAATGCACTGCCTCAAATTGGGGTCGTTGTGCCCTGAAAGCCCAGGGATGCACTGCCCCAAAATTGGGGGTGTTGTGCCCTGAAAGCCCAGGGATGCACTGCCCCAAAATTGGGGACATTATGCCCTGAAAGCCCAGGGATGCACTGCTTCAAATTGGGGGTGTTGTGCTCTGAAAGCCCAGGGATGCACTGCCCCAAAACCTGAGGGTGCTGTGCCCTGAAAGCCCAGAGATGTTGTGCCCCAAAATTGGGGGCGTTGTGCCCTGAAAGCCCAGGGATGTGCTGCCCCAAAATTGGGGGTGTTGTGCCTGAAAGCCCAGGGATGCACTGCCTCAAAATTGGGGGTGTTGTGCCCTGAAAGCCCAGGGATGCACTGCCTCAAATTGGGGTCGTTGTGCCCTGAAAGCCCAGGGATGCACTGCCCCAAAATTGGGGGCGTTGTGCCCTGAAAGCCCAGGGATGCACTGCCTCAACTTGGGGGTGCTGTGCCTTGAAAGCCCAGAGATGTTGTGCCCCAAAATTGGGGGTGTTGTGCCTGAAAGCCCAGGGATGCACTGCCTCAAATTGGGGGTGTTGTGCCCTGAAAGCCCAGAGATGTTGTGCCCCAAAATTGGGGTCATTGTGCCCTGAAAGCCCAGGGATGCACTGCCCCAAAATTGGGGGCGTTGCACCCCAAAAAATCTGAGCATGTTGTGCCCCAGAACTTGGGGAACTTGTGTCACACAAACCTGAGGTTATTGTGCTCTGAAATCCTGAGCATGTTGTGCCCCAAAAACCCGAGGATGCTGTGCCTCAAAGACTCAGGGATGCAGTGTCCCAAAGATGCCCTGTGTTCTAAATTCAATGATGTGCTGCCCTGATGACTTGGGAACGTGGTTCCCCAAAACCTCAGAGATGTTGGATCCCGAGAGCCCAGGGACACGGTGCTGCAAAAACTCAGGGGTGTCGTGCCCCTAAAAACCAGGGGTCGTTGTGCTCCAAAAACTTGGGGATCTGATGCCCCAAAGACTTGGGGCCACGATGCCCCAAACTCAGGAATGAGGTACTTTGAACTTGAGGACGTTGTACCCCAATTGTGAGGTGAGGGTATTGTGCTGCAAAACCCCAGGAATGGGGTGTCCCCAAAAGCCTGGGGACGTCACCCTCCCTCAGAACTTTGGGACATTGTGTCTTGAATGTCTGGGGACTCTGTGTCCCCAAAATGGGGGGGCACGTTGCCTTGAAGGCATGGGGCCGTTGTGACCCTAAAACGTGGGGCTGTCTGCCCCAAACTCAGGGATGCAGTACCCCAAAAGCGTGGAGGCAGCGTCCCCAATACTCAGGGATGTTGTGCCCCTAAAAACTCAGGGATGTTGTGCCCCTGAAAGCCTGGGGACGTTGCACCCTAAAGATTTGGGTATGCAGTGCCCTGAACATCTTAGGGATGTTGTTGCCTGAACACGGGGCTGCAGTGCACACACAAAGCCTGGGGAAACTGCAATGCAAAAGCTCAGCATTGTTGTGCCTGAAACTCAGACCGTGGTGCCCATGATAGCACAGGCCTGTTGTGCCCCAGATTCAGGGCCACGGTGCCCCAAAAACCTGGGTTAATTGTGCCTCAAAAAGCTGGAGATGTGGTGCCCCAAACTCAGGGCCACGATGCCTCAAGAATCTGGGGACGTGGTGCCCCAAAAAGCTGGGGATATGGTGCCCAAAAGCCTGAGGATGTGGTGCCCCAGGCTCAGGGCCACGGTGCTGGATGGTGGGAGATGGACAGCTGTCCGAGACCAAGTGGAGAGTGCACTGCCCAGCACAGTTCCCAGTGTTGGGTGTTGGTGGGACCAGGTGCCCATCTACACTTTCAGGAGCTTCTGCTGGATTTTCAAGGAGAGCGTGGTTGAGTTGTGCTCCTGTATTGTAAGGTTGAGTTGTGCTCCTGTATTGTAAGGTTGAGTTGTGCTCCTGTATTGTAAGGTTGAGTTGCCAGAGCTTGCTGACACACATGACCCTTTTGTCTGCAGAGCACCTCAGTCAGTCCTCCTGCCCTTTCAGTTACCATAATCAGCATCATAGAGGGATGAAATCATTGGTTGGAAAGGTCTTGAAAGATCACAGAATCGTAGAATGGATTGGACTTGGCTTGGAAGGATCCTGAAGGATCACATGGAATGGGTTGGGTTTGGGTTGGAAGGATCCTGAAAGATCAAGGAATCATAGAATGGGTTGCGTTTGGGTTGGAAGGGTCCTGTGGTCAACCACAGAACCGCAAGGACCCTTCCAAGCCAACCAGTCTACATTCTGTGGTCTTCAAGGACCCTTCCAACCAAACCAATCTACCATTCTGTGGTTCTGTGGTCTTCAAGGACCCTTCCAACCCAAGACTTCTATCATTCTGTGGTTCTCTAGTCTTCAAGACCCTTCCAAGCCACGCAATCTACCATTCTGTGGTCTTCAAGGACCCTTCCAAGCCAACCATTCTACCGTTCTGTGGTCTTTAAGGACCCTTCCAACCCAAGTCTTCTATCATTCTGTGGTTCTCTAGTCTTCAAGACCCTTCCAAGCCAACCATTCTACCATTCTGTGGTCTTCAAGGACCCTTCCAACCCAAGTCTTCTATCATTCTGTGGTTCTCTAGTCTTCAAGACCCTTCCAAGCCAACCATTCTACCATTCTGTGGTCTTCAAGGACCCTTCCAACCCAAGTCTTCTATCATTCTGTGGTTCTCTAGTCTTCAAGACCCTTCCAAGCCAACCATTCTACCGTTCTGTGGTCTTTAAGGACCCTTCCAACCCAAGTCTTCTATCATTCTGTGGTTCTGTAGTCTTCAAGGACCCTTCCAAGCCAACCATTCTACCGTTCTGTGGTCTTCAAGGACCGTTCCGACCCAACCATTCTATCATCCTGTGGTTCTGTGGTTTTCAGAATGGTAGAATGGTTGGGTTGGAAGGGTCCTTGCAGACCACAGAACCAGAATACGATAGAGGAGTTGGGTCAGAAGGGTCCTCAGAGCCTGCAGTGGGTGGGCGCCTCCGGGGATGGGCCGTGAAGTTGACGAGCTTCCCGTTCCGCGTCCTGATTCGCTCTCTGTTTGTTTTTCTCCTCCGATTTCAGCCCAGAACCTGACGACGTGCGAGGTGTGCGGCGCCTGCTTCGAAACCCGCAAAGGGCTCTCCAGCCACGCGCGCTCCCACCTGCGGCAGCTCGGCGTGGCCGAGTCGGAGAGCAGCGGGGCCCCCATCGATTTGCTCTACGAACTGATGAAGCAGAAGGGCAAACCCGATGGGCACCCCATGGTTTCTCCCACCCTCGGCAAAAAATCTGCCTCTCCCAAGGACGGCATCGCCGGTTCCCCGCGTCCCGCGCTGCTGGCGCTCGGCAAAGGCGGTGAGCGCTCGCTGGATGGCCCCATCAACAAAGCCATCAAATCCCCGCCGGGATTCTCCAAGAGCCTCTCGCAGCCCGGATCCCCCATCCTCAAGAAGGTGCCCCCCGTGCTCTCTGGGTCCCCCTCTCCAAAAAACCCCGAGGAGAAGAGCTCGAAGCTGTCGCTCAGCCCTCTGCAGAGCTCCCCAAAGGCGCAGTGGCCACAGGCAGATGAGGAAGGACCTCTCAATTTGAGTGAGTCTCTCTCTTTTTTTTTTTTCCTTTTTTTTTTTTTTTTTTTTTGCCAATCGTGTTTCCCATTAAGTTTTGGGGCTGGGGATGAGAGGAATCCCTGGGTACTCCTGGTGAGGCTACAGCTCTGTGCTTTGTGGGGTGAGCTCAGTGTGGAAGAAGCAGTTTTGATGGCCATTGTGGCTCCAGGACGCAGCAGCTGGAGGGGAAAGTCCTCCCTGGTGTGAATTCACCTGGTTCTTTACCCTCCGAGCTCTTCGTGTCGCCTCCCAGTCCTGCTCTCAGCCCCAGCCAAACGCTTCCATTTGCATCCCTCTTTGTCCCTAAGCTCTGCTGGGGTCTTGTTCTCATATCATGGCACCAGAGTAGTTTTACTGCAGCAGTCAGCTCTTTGTGCCCTCACGTTCCTTGGGCAGCTCAAAGGGATTTGTTTGCCCTGCAGGATTTCTCCCAGCTCTTCTTAGAGCTGTGGGGCTGTAGGACCTGCTCCATCTTGGCTAACATGGTCCTTGTCCTGAGCAAAATGTTCTGTGCCTGCGACGCCTCCATGGCTGCCTTTGGCAGAATCACTGGACTGTGGGGGTTGGACGGGACCTGTGGAGATCATTGAGACCAACCCTCTGCTAAAGCAGGGTCCCAGGTGGAGCAGGAAAGCATCCAGGTGGGTCTTGAATGTCTCCAGAAGAGACTCCACAACCTCCCTGAGCAGCCTGTTCCAGAGCTCCGTCACCCTGGCAGGAAAGAAGTTCTTCAGTCCTTTTCCCTGTGGGTCCCACTGAGAATGGATTTCATTGCACAGAGCTTTGGGTTCAGCCCTCTTCCCTTTGGGTCCCACTGAGGATGGATTTCATTGCACAGAGCTTTGGGTTCAGTCCTCTTCCCTTTGGGTCCCACTGAGGATGGATTTCATTGCACAGAGCTTTGGGTTCAGCCCTCTTCCCTTTGGGTCCCACTGAGGATGGATTTCATTGGGCACAGAGCTTTGGGTTCAGCCCTCTTCCCTTTGGGTCCCACTGAGGATGGATTCCATTGGGCACAGAGCTTTGGGTTCAGTCCTCTTCCCTTTGGGTCCCACTGAGGATGGATTTCACTGCGCAGTGCTTTGGTTTCAGTCCATTTTGCTTCTCGGTCCCCATGAGGACTGGCTTTGGGTGTGCAGATCTGGTTTCAGCCCCGCTTCCTTTGGAATCCCACCGAGGACCGGCTTTGTCACTGCTCACATCTTTGGGTTGGGTCCTGTTCCCTTCAGAGTTCCACTGAGGATTGGTTTTGTTGTTGGGTTGGTATCTGAGTTCAGCCCTGCTCATTTTGGAGTCCCGCTGAGGACTGGCTTTGTTGGGTGCACATCTTTGAGTTCATTTTCCAGTCCCACTGAGGACGGGCTCTGTGCGGTTCCTGTTTTGGCTCAGCCCCGCTCTTCGCCTCCCACTGAGGATGGACTTTGTTGGCTTCGCACGCCTTCGGCTCCTTGGCACCACCAAACTCCACCTTTGCATCCCCAGTAACCACAGTTCTCTCTGTTTTTCTTTACCTCCTCTGCAGCCGCCGGGGGGGAGCCGGTGCGGGACATCCGCTGTGAGTTCTGCGGGGAGTTCTTTGAGAACCGCAAGGGTCTGTCGAGCCACGCGCGCTCCCACCTGCGCCAGATGGGGGTGACGGAGTGGTACGTCAACGGCTCCCCCATCGACACGCTGCGCGAGATCCTCAAGCGCCGAACTCACCCGCGGAGCGGAGCTTCCAACCCCATGGGCCCCGGGCACAAAGCCATGGCCAAGACCCTCCTGGCGGCCATGGGACCCCTGGAGCCGCGGGGTCCCGGCGAGCTCCACATCCCGACTCTGCCCAAGAAGGTCCAGCAGCCCGGCAGTCCCCTGGGCCACTCTCCTACCTCGTCCCCGCCTCCCACTGCCCGGAAGATGTTTCCAGGCCTCTCTCCTCCCTCCTTGCAGAAGAAGCTCAAACACGACCAGATGAGAGTGGAAATCAAGCGTGAGATGATGACCGGGGGTCTCCACGGGGAGCCCCATCCCTCCGACCAGGCTTGGCCGCCGCTGGAGGAGATGTCACCCTTGAACCTCTGTAAGTGTGTGGCTGTCACCTTCCCCCTCCCGTGGGCTGGTGGGGGTCGGGCACACGCCGTGCTGGGGAGGGGGATGTGGGATCCAAGGTCCCTTCCAGCCCATTCCATGGCGATTTTCAAAGATCCTTCCAACCCAACCCCTTCTTATCATTCAATGATCTTCAAGGTCCTTTCCAGGCCAATCCCTTCTATCATTGCATGGCTCTAACATCTGTAAGCTCCCTTCCAACCCAGCCCTTTCTATGGTTCTCTGATGTTTGAGGACCATTCCAATTCAACCCGTTCCAGGGTTCTGTATTTCTATGATCTTCAAGGACCCTTCCAACCCAGCCCATTCTATGGCTCTGTGATCTTCAAGGACCCTTCCAACCCAACCCCTTCTAAGGCTCTATGATGTTTAAGGACCCTTCCAACCCAGCCCATTCTATGGCTCTATGATCTTCAAAGACCCTTCCAACCCCTTCTATGGCTCTATGATCTTCAAAGACCCTTCCAACCCCTTCTAAGGCTCTATGATCTTCAAAGACCCTTCCAACCCCTTCTATGGCTCTATGATCTTCAAAGATCCTTCCAACCCCTTCTATGGCTCTATGATCTTCAAAGACCCTTCCAACCCCTTCTATGGCTCTATGATCTTCAAAGACCCTTCCAACCCCTTCTATGGCTCTATGATCTTCAAAGACCCTTCCAACCCCTTCTAAGGCTCTATGATGTTTAAGGACCCTTCCAACCCAACCCATTCTATGGCTCTAGGATCTTTGAGGACCCTTCTAACCCAACCCATTCTATCACTGTATGATCTTCAAGGACCCTTCTAACCCAACCCATTCTATGGCTCTATGGTCTTCAAAGACCCTTCCAACCCAACCCCTTTTAAGGCTCTATGATGTTTAAGGACCCTTCCAACCCAGCCCATTCTATGGCTCTATGATCTTTGAAGACCCTTCCAACCCATTCTATGGCTCTATGATCTTCAAAGACCCTTCCAACCCCTTCTATGTCTCTATGATCTTCAAAGACCCTTCCAACCCAACCCATTCTATCACTGTATGATCTTTAAGGACCCTTCTAACCCAACCCATTCTGTGGCTCTATGGTCTTCAAAGACCCTTCCAACCCCTTCTATGGCTCTATGATCTTCAAAGACCCTTCCAACCCCTTCTATGTCTCTATGATCTTCAAAGACCCTTCCAACCCCTTCTATGGCTCTATGATCTTCAAAGACCCTTCCAACCCCTTCTATGGCTCTATGATCTTCAAAGACCCTTCCAACCCAACCCCTTTTAAGGCTCTATGATGTTTAAGGACCCTTCCAACCCAGCCCATTCTATGGCTCTATGGTCTTTGAAGACCCTTCCAACCCATTCTATGGCTCTATGATCTTTGAAGACCCTTCCAACCCATTCTATGGCTCTATGATCTTCAAAGACCCTTCCAACCCATTCTATGGCTCTATGATCTTCAAGGACCCTTCCAACCCAACCCCTTCTATGGCTCTATGATCTTTAAAGACCCCTCCAACCCTAGAGCTCTCTGATGGGTGCTGTTCTCTTCGGGTACTTTGGGGTCAGCTGGAAGCACGGCGCTGTGGGATCTGCTCGTGGATCGTCTTCTGCGGGTTGTGCTGTGGGATATGGGGGCAGGTGGGCTCAGACCCACTCCCCCTGACGCCAGCTCTCTCCCTGCAGCCTCCCGAGCCGACCCGGTGCGGGACATCCGCTGTGAGTTCTGCGGGGAGTTCTTTGAGAACCGCAAGGGTCTGTCGAGCCACGCGCGCTCCCACCTGCGCCAGATGGGGGTGACGGAGTGGTCGGTGAACGGCTCCCCCATCGACACGCTGCGCGAGATCCTCAAGAAGAAATCGAAGCCCTGCGTCATCAAGAAGGAGCCCCACACCTCCATCATCGAAACCCCCAAAGGCTTCGGGGAGGAGGGGATGGACCCCAAGCCCTCTGGAAAAGTGCTGCAGGCCATGGCCCTGCCTCCACTGGGCGGGAGGACGGGGAAACCCGGCGGCTCCAGCATCGGCCGCGAGCTCTCGCTGTCGCCGCTCACCGCCAAGCCCCACGGCGCCTTCCTGACACCGCTGGCCACCAAACGGCCGCTGCAGGACGACCGCCTGGGTCCCCACCCAGAGGTGAAGCACAAGGCCTACATCCAGACCGAGCTGCCCTTCAAAACCAAGTCCGTGCACGACAAGCCCACGCACACATGTAAGTGTGGGGAGGCACGTGGTGCGGCTTGTCCAGGTTCCTGGAGGCTGCGGGGAGGGGCTGGGGGGTTGGCGTGCGTTGGCCACGGCCACCGTCAGCTGCGGTCGTGCATTGGCCAAGTTGTTGTGTTGACCGTGGGCACATGTTGGCCGTGGTGTTGCGTTGCCATAGCCACGTGTCGGCCGTGCTGTTGGCCATGGCCACATGTTGGCCATGGTGTTGTGTCGGCCATGCTGTTGCCCATGGCCACGTGTCAGCCATGCTGTTCTGTCGGCTAAGTTGCTGTGTTGGCCATGGTGTTGCGTTGGCCAAGTTGTTGCGTTGGCTATGGCCACGTGTCAGCCATGGTGTTGCAATTGCCATGGCCACATGTTGGCCAAGTTGTTGTGTTGGCCATGGCCACGTGTCAGCCATGGTGTTGCGTTGGCCATGGCCACGTATCAGCCATGGTGTTGCAATTGCCATGGCCACATGTCAGCCATGGTGTTGCGTTGGCCATGGCCACATATCAGCCATGGTGTTGCGTTGGCCATGGCCACGTATCAGCCATGGTGTTGCGTTGGCCATGGCCACGTATCAGCCATGGTGTTGCGTTGGCCATGGCCACGTGTCAGCCATGGTGTTGCGTTGGCCATGGCCACGTATCAGCCATGGTGTTGCGTTGGCCGCAGTCCCACCATCCGTGGGGCACCACGCTTGGATATCAGGCTCCGGCTTTTTGCTGTGATATCTCTGATAAGGAGCAGAGATTTGGGGACCGTCCACCACCCGCCATCCCACTTAGAGATGGATCCTCCATCTTGGAGCCTTGACCTCCTGCCAGGACCACCTCAGAGCTCACCGCCGCCCGCCCCACGCTGGGAGGGGGCGGATTCCCACGCAGGGGTGGCGGTGGGGGGAACGGGGCACGTCTGAGCCCCTCGCTCACCGCCTGCCCCCCGCTCCCCCAGCCACCGAAGCGTGCTGCGAGCTCTGCGGCCTCTACTTCGAGAACCGCAAGGCTCTGGCCAGCCACGCGCGGGCGCACCTGCGGCAGTTTGGCGTCACCGAGTGGTGCGTCAACGGCTCGCCCATCGAGACGCTCAGCGAATGGATCCGGCACCGGCCGCAGAAAGCCGGCGCGTATCGCAGCTACATCCAGGGCGGCCGACCCTTCACTAAGAAATTTCGGAATTCGTCGCACGCCCGAGATCACGACGGAGCGCGGAGGGTGCCGCTGAGCCTGCAGCACGGCGGCATGGCGCTGCTGAGCAAAGGGCTGGCGGCGGAGCTGGCGCACGGAGAGCCCTGCAAGATCCTGGACGGCACCGGCGAGCGGCCCGTGGTCACCTCGCCGCTCTCGCTGGTGAAGATGGAAGAGCATCAGCGCTCGAATTTCCACAGTGAGTTGGGACAGGGGGGGGGGGGGTGCAGCTGTCGGGAGGAGGACGGGTTGGGACCCGGTTCCCTTGGGATGCGGAACTCCTGGGGGCGGCAGCCGTTGGGATGTGGTTCCCGCGGGGGTTGGGGCCGCTGGGATCCCATTCCCTCGGGAGGTTGGAGCTGCTGGGACACGGATCCGCGAGGAGGAGGAGCCCCTCCTGTCCTCGGCAGCGCTGTTGCTCCAAAGCAGAGAGGCTGTGCCATCTCTCGCAGCCCTCGGCACCACGGCAGGGTTCCCCCTTCCGCCCTGATGCCCCGTTTCCCTTCCGTTATTCCCCCCCTAGAGTTTGAGCGGAGGCAGGCAAGGCCCCTGGACCCCTCCCTGCACCGGGAGGAGGAGGGGGCCGACTTCCAGCAGAAGATGGAGGAGACCCGCCAGCCCCCACCCAGGATGAGGCCGGTGCCCTCGCTGGTCCCCCGCCCGCCGCAGACCTCCCTGGTGAAGTTTGTGGGTAACATCTACACCCTCAAGTGCAGGTAGGCCATCCCCTTTTGGGCCCCAGCCCACCTTAGGCTTAACTTTTGGGCTCCCTTTGGGCTCCTTGTGGCTTTCTTTCAGGTTCCCCTTTGGGTGCCCTCTGGGTTTGCTTCGGCTTCCTTTTGTGGGCTTCCCTTTTGAGGCAGCCTTTTCGTTTCCTTCGGGCTCTTTCTGGCTTTCTTTGAGGCTCCCCTTTGGCTTCCTTTGAGTTTCCTTTGGGCTCCCATTGGAGCGCTCCCTTTTGGGTTTCCTTTGGGTTCCCCTTTTGGTCTCTTTTTGGGGTTTTCTGTAGGCTTTCTTCAGGGCTCCCTTTTGGTTTCTGTTGGGCTCCCCTTTGGTCTCTTTCTGGGTTTCCTTTGAGGGCTCCCTTTGGGTTCCCTGTTGGGTTTCCTTTGAGGCTTCTTTTGGCTTTTCTTGATGTTCCCTTTGGGGTTTTCTCTTTCGCTTCCAGGTGGGCTCTGCTGTAGGTTCCCTTTGGGTTGTGTTTTCGGGCTTCCTTTGGCTTCCCCTTGGATTCCTGTTGGGTTCCTCATTGGGCTCCCATTTGGCTTCCCTTTGTGTTTCCCTCGGCTCCCAAACCTCTGAGCTCTTTGTTCTTGGGCACTGCACCCTTCAGCGCCGCACCTGGGGCTGTGGGACCCCTTCCTCCCTGCTTTTCCCTCCCCTCTCCCCCCTCCCCACAGCCTCTGGGCCGCTAAAGGAGCCTTGGACTGACCCGCTGCCGCCGTGTCCCCGCAGGTTCTGTGAGGTGGAGTTCCAGGGCCCCCTCTCCATCCAGGAGGAGTGGGTGCGACACCTCCAGCGACACATCCTGGAAATGAATTTCTCCAAAGCAGACCCCCTGCGGGGGGACGCCCCGGCCCCCGAGCCCCCCGCCGTGGCCGAGGCTCAGTAACGGAGCCCCCCACCCCAGGGCGACGGAGCCGAACCGGGGCACCCTCCGCCCCCCACCCCGTGCCTGCGCCTCCCCCACGGAGCAACCTCAGCCCACCCCCCCCCCACTACCCCAACGCCGGGCTGGATGGGGGGCACCCGGCCGCAAGCACTACAAGGATCAAACCCCCCCCTCCGGTCCTCCCTCCCCAGGGGGGGGGGGATGGTGGCACTCGAGGACGGGGCAGGGGACAACGGTGGCACCGCGTGTGCCTCCCCCCCCCACCCCCGACACGGCGGGTCCGGTTCAGCCCAAAGAGGCGGGAGCTGCATTGGCTTCCACCGGTTCAGGGACGCGGGGAGCGAGCGCCGTGCGTTTGTCTGTGGCCCGAGAGTTGCTGTATATTCGATCCCTGCAGGCAGCGCCGCCCATCGTTCCCGGCGCTGTCGGAGCCCGTTGCTCCGGGGTTGCATGTTGCCCCGCTCCCCCTTCCCAAAGGAAAACACTTGGCTCCCCGTCACCCCCCCCCGACCCCCGATTTCCAGTGGGACCGTGGGCTGCGGTGATGCTGGGGGGGTCCCGGGGTGGGGGAGGGGGATCTGCGGAGCCGCACGTCCCCCTCCCCCCCCCGCTCCTCCTCACTGTTGCTATATTTTTGTTTGTTTTTTTTGTTGTTTTGTTTTTTCCCCCCCCCTTGTCTAGCTGCATAGACCTTCGACTTTTTTAACTCTAGTTTTGTGTAGAAAATTTAAGGAGCATTCATTTTTATTTCGAAGTCCCGAGCCCAGCACGGCTCGGAGGGAATTTACCTTTTAACTTTTTTCATTGGGCATATTCTGGTTATTAATGTACCCGGGAATATGTACATTAGATTAAACTTCTGGAAACAACCCCCGGGGGGCTGTGTGAGTGCATGGGGGTCCTCACGGGGGATTTTGGGGGGGAGAATGAGGTTGGTTTTGGGGCCAGAGGGGTGGTGAGAGCCCACAGGGCTGGGAACAGCGGGGTGAGGATGTGGCTGAGAGTCACACGGCTTGGGAGCATCATAAAGGGGACGTGGGGCCACGGCTGATGGCGTGGTGTGGGGTCGGGATGGGGGGCACACGGGGTCAGGGTGAGGGCACGACCCAGAGCTTGGGATGTTGGGGGCAGGGTGAGGCCGTGTCGGCGGGGACATTGAGGTCAAAGCGTGGCCTGACCCCGGGCATGGGGACACCAGGGTCGGGATGGGGACATCGGGGTGGCCGCGTCCTGTGGCGGAGGAACACGGGTCGAGAGGAGGCAGTGTCACACGGCGCGGGAGGAGAGATGTCGCGATGGGGACATCACGACATGGCCGTGTGCAACGACATAGCGGCACTGGGGGCACAGTGAGGCTTTTCCGTAGGGATATGGAGGTCGGGGGGAGGCCGCGCCCCGGGGTTCCGGCACAGAACTGGCGCGGTTTCGGCGCGCTCATTCTCCGCCGGGAGCGGAGCCCCGCGGTCCTCAGCCAATGGCGACGCGCGGTGCTAAGGAAGGGGCGTGGCCAAGAGTCGCACCTGCGCGGTGGGGGCGTTGCCGGCGGCTCCGGGCTCTTCTGCCACGCGATTGGTGGAGGCAGCGCTCAGCCCTCCCACCACCCCCGATTGGCCAATCAGAGTAGAGAACGGCGGCGGCACCGCCTCTCTGCCAGCTGACCAATCAACGAACGTTCCCTCAGGGCCCATCGGGAAAGCCGACGATTGGCACCCGCATTCTCCAATCCTCGGCGAGACCGCCCCGCGGGAGGTGGAGACGCGACCAATGACCTCCTCCGGCCGCCCGGAGGCCGGACCAATGAGCGCGGCGGGGAGGCGGGGCGGCGCCGCCGGTACCGTTGGGCGCAGAGGCGGCGGCGGGCGGCGGGCGGCGCCGCCATTATGAGTTACTCAGGTGAGGGCGCGGCGCAAAGATGGCGGCGGGGGCGGCCAGGGGCTTCTCGGGGGGCCGGGGGGCGGCGGGACGTCCCGAAAACGGGGTTTTGGGGCCGAACGCGCGGGGTTCCGTCACCGTCCGGTTGGCGGGCGGCCTCACAGAGCGGAGCGCGGGGGATGATTGGCTCCTGCCGGCCTCGCTGTTGTTGACGCGGGTCGGGGTGCCGTCGGCCCTCTTGGCCAGCCGGGCATCAACCACCACCCCGGGTCCCTTTCTTCTTCGCAGCCGCTCAGCCCCAAGCCTGCAGCGCTGCCTGGGGTTGCTGTGCCCAAAGCGCAGGACCCGGCGCTTGGCCTCCTTCAACCTCTTCCCGTTCACCTCAGCCCAGCGATGCGGCTTATCCAGGTCCCTCTGCAGGGCCTCCCTGCCCTCAGGCAGATCCACGCCACCTCCCCGCTCGGTGTCAGCTGCAAACGTACTGAGGGTGCACGCAGTCCCTCCTCTGGGTCATCAACAAAGATATCAAACAAGGTCGACCCCAGCGCCGAGCCCTGGGGACACCGTTTGTAACGGCTCTGCAGCTCGATTCACTGCATTCACCACGACTCGGCCCTCAGCCAGCTCCTGACCCAAAGCAGGGTGCACCCGACCGGGCCTCGGGCAGCCAGTTTCCCCAGGAGGATGCTGTGGGAAACATGTCAAAGCTTTGCTGAAGTCTAAACAGCCTCATCAGCGGGGCCCATCCTGTTTAATATCTTCATTGACGACTTAGATGAAGGCATTGAGTGCACCCTGAGTAAGTTTGCAGATGGCACCAAGTTGGGAGGTGGTGTGGATCTGCCTGAGGGCAGGGAGGCCCTGCAGAGGGATCTGGATCAGCTGGATCGCTGGGCCGAGGTGAATGGGATGAGGTTCAACAAGGCCAAGTGCCGGGTCCTGCATTTGGGCACAACAACCCCATGCAGCACAAAGGTTTGGGGATGAGTGGTTGTGAGTGTGGAGAGGAAAGGGAGCTGGGGGTGTTGGTTGGTGCTCGGCTGAACACGAGCCAGCAGTGTGCCCAGGTGGCCAAGAGGGCCAACGGCATCCTGGCCTGCATTAGAAATGGTGTGGCCAGCAGGAGCAGGGAGGTGATTGTGCCCTGTACTCAGCACTGGTGAGGCCGCACCTCGAGTGCTGTGTTCAGTTTTGGGCCCCTCACTGCAAGAAAGACATGGAGGCCCTGGAACGTGTGCAGAGAAGGGCAACGAAATGGTGAGGGGTCTGGAGCACAAGTCTTATGAACAGCGGCTGAGGGAGCTGGGATGGTTCAGTCTGCAGGAGAGGAGCTCAGGGGAGGCCTCATAGCACTCTACAACTTCCTGAAGGGAGGCTGTGGTGCAAAAGGGTCTGGCCTCTTCTCCCAGGCTAATAGTAGGAGCCGAGGAAACGGCCGGAAGTTGTACCAGAGGAGGTTTAGGTTGGACATGAGGGGAAACTTTTTCTCTCAGAGGGTGGTCAGGCACTGCAATGGCTGCCCAGGGAGGTGGTGGAGTCGCCGTCCCTGGCAGCGTTCAAGAGGCGCCTGGATGAGGAGCTACGAGATGTGGGTTAGTGCTTGTGGTACTGATAGCAATGGGAGGGGGTTGGACTGGATGATCTTGCAGGTCGTTTCCAACCTTGTGATTCTGTGAACAGCCTTTCCCTCATCTACCAGTCCGGTCACCCAGCCGTAGGAGATGAGGTCGGTCGAGCACAAGCTGCCTTTCATGAACCTTTCACCCAAATGAATGATCTCACCCCAAACGATTTGCTCCGTAACCTTCCCTGGTGCCGAGGTCAGGCTGACAGGCCTGTAGTTCCCCAGATCCTCCTTAGGGCCCCTCCTGTGGACGGGAGTCCCATTGCCAAGGCTCCGAGGGAGGGGTTGTGAGCACTGGGATTCAGGGTCACCTTCTGGGGATCTTAGGGGCTCTTCTCGGAGCTCACCTGGGGTCTTGGGACTCCTCTGAGGCTCCTTTGGTTCTCCTTTTGGGGCTCTTTTGGTGGCTCCTTTGGTTCTCCATTGGGATCTCCATTTGAGTCTCATTTGGGGGCTCTTCTTGGAGCTTTATTGGGATCTTGAGGCTCCTTGGGGGCTCTTTGTGGTTCCTTTGGGCTCTCCTCAGAGTTTTTTGGGGATCTTTTGGTGGCTCCTGGGTGCTCTTTAGGGTTTTGGGCTCGTTTTTGTGCTTTTGGTGCTTCGTTGGGATCTTGAGGCTCCTTTTGGAACTCCTTTTGGGGTTCTTTGGTTCTCCTTTTGGGGTTCTTTTGGGGTCTCCTTTGGTTCTCCATTGCAGCTCTTTGGGGTCTCCTTTGGTGGCCCCTTCCTGGAGCTTTGCTGGGATCCCGGGGGCTCCTTTGCAGCACTTTGCAGTCTCCTTTTGGGACTCTTTTCAGAGCTTCTTTTGGGAGCTGGTTTTGGACTTTCTTGGGGTTCTTTCAAGGCCGGAGAAATGTTGTCTCACAAAGAATTGCCACGTCTTGATTTCATTCTCCAATTCTTTACCTGCAAAATGCTCCATTGTGGGGTTGTGTGCACCTGAACCCCTTTCTGCTCCCTTGTCTTGGAGGTCTGGTGCCCCCTGCTCCCAATTTTCTGTGTGAAACCAGGAGAGTTGGCACTTGCGGGTAGGACACCGCTGTGTCACGGTGTGGCGTGGCAGAAATGGAAGCTGAAAGAAAGAACAGGGACCTCATTCAGGGAAAAAAATCTGCATCGTCTGAAGGCCAGCAGGTTGACCGTGGGCCAGCAGTGTGTCCTCGTGGGCAGGAAGGCCAGGGGTGGCCAGCAGTGTGAACCTGGTGGACAAGAATCCTCCCAAGCGGTGGTGCAGACACGTCTGAAGGCCGTGCTGCCATTCAGCGAGACCTGGACAGGCTGAGAGCTGGGCAGGAAGAAACTGCATGAGGTTTAACAACAGCAAGTGTAGAGTCTTGCATCTGGGGAGGAAGAATGGCATGCAGCAGTACAGGATGGGGGATGAGCTGCTGGAGGGGAGCTCTGCGGAGAGGGAGCTGGGTGTCCTGGTGGATGACAGGTTGCCATGAGGCAGCAGTGTGCCCTGCTGGCCAACATGGCGTCCTGGGGTGCATTGCAAAGAGCGTGGCCAGCAGGTGGAGGGAGGTGATCCTCCCCCTCTGCTCTGCCCTGCTGAGGCCTCATCTGCAGCTCTGCGTCCAGTTCTGGGCTCCCCAGCACAAAACAGACAGGGAGCTCTTGGGAAGAGGCCACCAAGATGGGGAGGGGCCTGGAGCATCTCTGCTATGAGGAAAGGCTGAGTGAATTGGGGCTGTTCAGCCTGGAGGAAAGAAGGCTGAGAGGGGAGCTGATCCAGGTCTATCAGTATCTGAGGTGTGGGGGCAGAATGGCGAGGATGGACTCTGTTCAGTGGGGAGTGGAGACAGGACAAGGGGAAACGGCTGGAAATGCAGTATAGGAAGTTGTGCAGCAATGTGCGAAGGAACGGCTGTACAGTGAGGGGAGGAGCACTGGAACAGGCTGCAGGGAGGTGGGGAGTCTATGGGTCCCAATGTGTCTCTATGGGTCCCAACATGTCTCTATGGGTCTCAATGTATCTCTATGGGTCCCAATGGGTCCCAACGTGTCTCTATGGGTCCCAACGTGTCCCTATGGTCCCACTGCTCACTGCAGCAGGCTGCCCAGGGAGGTGGTGGAGTCTCCTGCTCTGGAGATGTTCCAGACCTGCCTGGATGCCGAGCTGTGCGCCCTGCTGTAGGATCTGCTTGGGCAGGGGGTTGGACTCCATGAGCTCTGCAGCTCCCTTCCAACCCCTGTGATTCTGTGATTCTGTTTGCAGATTGGATTTGCCACCATTTCTTTCTTTCGGGGTGTTGCTCCTTTTTGGTGGTAAACAAAACCCCCTGTGAGAAGCATGGCTCTGACTGCTTCTTCTGTCTGCTTTTCCAGGTTACGGAGACTGGAACTCTGGGACAAACAGAGGCAAGTACGCTGCCAGCTCGAGCGGGTTCCTGACAGACCTTCGTTAGCTTCAGCTCCTGAAGGATACAATGCAGAGTCTGCATTCCCTCTTCTTTTATTTTTAGGGTTCTTTTTTTTGCAACCACTTTCTTTTATTGTAAAACCTTGTCGAGATGTTAACGACTTCCTTCCCCTGTTTTTTCAAAAGGGCCACACGGCCAAGGATTTGGGTTTTTCTGTTCCAGCCCATCTTGGTATTGCTGCTGGGTAAAGGCTGGAAAATGGTCTCCAGTGGGTTTTGGCGTTACCCAGCGAGGCTGATTTTAGAGGCTGTGCGTTGGGTGCATTTGTTCACCCATGCACCTTAGCTTGAATTAAATATTACCTGCGACAGATCGCCAGGAATGAGAGCTCTCTGTTTTGTTCTTGCAGGGTATGAGAGCTACAACTACGGCTACGGCTACGGGCAGGACAACTCGGGCAGCTATGGCTACGGCATGGCTGCCTCCAACTCGTGGGATATGGGCAACTCGGACATGGACATGAACCCGGATGGTGCTGGTAGTGCCGACGCCGTCATTGCCAAAATGAACCAGCGCCTGGACGTGGTGTCCCACCTGGATGCTGATAGCATGCAGGGCGGGCACTACGGCTCCGGCGGGGATCGGTGAGTGGGAAAACCATGGAATGATTGGATAGGTTGGGATGGAAGGGACTTTAAAGATCCTAGAGCAATAGAATGGTTGGGTTGGGAGAGTTCTTAAAAATAATAGGGTCGTGAAATCCTAGAATAATTGAGTTGGAAGAGTCCTTGAAGGTCAGAGAACCACGGAATCACAGCAGAGTTGAGTTGGACTCGTCCTTAAAGATCGTGGAACCGTGGAATGGTAGAGTGGTTGAGTTGGAAGGGTTTTTAAAGATGGTATCACAGCGTGGTTGGGTTGGAATTGTCCTTAAAGGTCACAGAACCAAGGAACGGTTGAATGGTTGGGTTGGAAGGGTCCTTGAAGGTCATATAACTATGGAATCACAGCATGGTTAGGTTGGAAGGGTCCTTAAAGGTCATAGAACTATGGAATCACAGCATGGTTGGGTTGGAGAGGTCCTTGAAGGTCATAGAACTATGGAATCACAGCATGGTTGGGTTGGAAGGGTCCTTGAAGGTCATAGAACTATGGAATCACAGCATGGTTGGGTTGGAGAGGTCCTTGAAGGTCATAGAACTATGGAATCACAGCATGGTTGGGTTGGAAGGGTCCTTAAAGGTCATAGAACTATGGAATCACAGCATGGTTGGGTTGGAGAGGTCCTTGAAGGTCATAGAACTATGGAATCACAGCATGGTTGGGTTGGAGAGGTCCTTGAAGGTCATAGAACTATGGAATCACAGCATGGTTGGGTTGGAAGGGTCCTTAAAGGTCATAGAACTATGGAATCACAGCATGGTTGGGTTGGAAGGGTCCTTAAAGGTCATAGAACTATGGAATCACAGCATGGTTGGGTTGGAAGGGTCCTTGAAGGTCATAGAACTATGGAATCACAGCATGGTTGGGTTGGAAAGGTCCTTAAAGGTCAACAACTCCAAGTTCTTTTCCTGAAGGAAAAAGTAGCCCGTTAAAACACGACCCAAAACAAATTGCTGCCAGTGTCAGCTTTCTGCCTGGTAAAAGTGGGTGTGCACAGGTGTCCCCAGATGTCCAGGAATGGGGACAGGAGCTCCAGCTGGGCTGTGTCCCCACACAGCTGATAATGTGGGCTCCTCTTGGTGTTTCGGGGTCTTTTAGGGCATCCTGGGCACTCGCAAAGCAATGAAGGGTTTGGGGGCTCGGTTTCTTTGTGTTTTTTTCCATGTCGATGGGGCTTTGGTTCTTCCACCCTGCCTGGAGGTGGACGGGGACATTGCAGCTGTGCCTTATCCTAGCCCTCGTCCCACAGAGTGGAAACAATCCCACGCTCAGTGATACGCTGAAGTGTTTAAAATACCAATAAAAACCCATTTTGAAGCATTTTGTTGGTTTAAGCTCTGCTGGGCTCTAACACAGTGTCCCAGAATCCCAGAACCAGCAGAGTTGGAAGAGACTTGTGGAGAGCAGAGGACATCATTGGCCTTCTTGGCTATGAGAGCACTCTGTTGGCCACTGTTGGCTTTCATGGCTGTGAGGGAGCCCTGTTGGCCACCGTTGGCCTTTTTGGCAATGCTCTCAGTCCATGGTCACCCTGTTGGCCACCGTTGGCCTTTTTGGCAATGCTCTCAGTCCATGGTCACCCTGTTGGCCACCGTTGGCCTTTTTGGCAATGCTCTCAGTCCATGGTCACCCTGTTGGCCACCATTGGCCTTTTTGGCAATGCTCTCAGTCCATGGTCACCCTGTTGGCCACCATTGGCCTTTTTGGCAATGCTCTCAGTCCACGGTCACCCTGTTGGCCACCGTTGGCCTTCTTGGCAATGCTCTCAGTCCATGGTCACCCTGTTGGCCACCATTGGCCTTCTTGGCAATGCTCTCAGTCCATGGTCACCCTGTTGGCCACCATTGGCCTTTTTGGCAATACTCTCAGTCCATGGTCACCCTGTTGGCCACCATTGGCCTTCTTGGCAATGCTCTCAGTCCATGGTCACCCTATTGGCCACCATTGGCCTTTTTGGCAATGCTCTCAGTCCATGGTCACCCTATTGGCCACCATTGGCCTTTTTGGCAATGCTCTCAGTCCATGGTCACCCTGTTGGCCACCGTTGGCCTTTTTGGCAATGCTCTCAGTCCATGGTCACCCTGTTGGCCACCGTTGGCCTTTTTGGCAATGCTCTCAGTCCATGGTCACCCTGTTGGCCACCGTTGGCCTTTTTGGCAATGCTCTCAGTCCACGGTCACCCTGTTGGCCACCGTTGGCCTTTTTGGCAATACTCTCAGTCCACGGTCACCCTGTTGGCCACCATTGGCCTTTTTGGCAATACTCTCAGTCCACGGTCACCCTGTTGGCCACCGTTGGCCTTCTTGGCAATGCTCTCAGTCCATGGTCACCCTGTTGGCCACCATTGGCCTTTTTGGCAATACTCTCAGTCCACGGTCACCCTGTTGGCCACCATTGGCCTTTTTGGCAATGCTCTCAGTCCATGGTCACCCTGTTGGCCACCATTGGCCTTCTTGGCAATGCTCTCAGTCCATGGTCACCCTGTTGGCCACCGTTGGCCTTCTTGGCAATGCTCTCAGTCCATGGTCACCCTGTTGGCCACCATTGGCCTTTTTGGCAATACTCTCAGTCCATGGTCACCCTGTTGGCCACCGTTGGCCTTCTTGGCAATGCTCTCAGTCCATGGTCACTCTGTTGGCCACCATTGGCCTTTTTGGCAATACTCTCAGTCCATGGTCACCCTGTTGGCCACCGTTGGCCTTTTTGGCAATGCTCTCAGTCCGTGGTCACCCTGTTGGCCACCGTTGGCCTTTTTGGCAATGCTCTCAGTCCATGGTCACCCTGTTGGCCACCGTTGGCCTTCTTGGACCCGCAGGCATGCTGCTGACCCTTCTCTCTCCACAGGTACGACTCATACGAATCCTACGACTCGAGGTCCTCGCTGAACGACCGGGACATGTACCGCTCCGGTTACGACTACAACGAGAACGAGAACGACAACGCCTACGACAGTCACTACGACGGTCACTACGACGACCACTATGAAAGTCACTACGACAGCTTCTATGGGAGCCGCAGGGACCAGTACCAGCACAGGGCACGGGATGGCTTTGGCCAACGGGGTCAGAACTGGGCGCGGGACGGGCGCAACACCAGAGCCATGGCTTCACCGTACTCGGGGCGCATGGGCGGGCAGTGGAACGACGCGCCGCGAGGCCTGGGCCCCCACGGCTCCTCCCGCCTGCCCTCCCTCTTCTCCCACAACATCATCCCGGAGCTCGGCGCGTTCCAAGGGATGCGAGGATTTTCGGGGAACGTGCGCTTCGGAGGAGGCATGATGAAGCAGAGGATGAGGAGAAACTGGAAAATGTGGGATTCGGACTTCAAAGTGAGTACTTGTGCAACATCCTCCCAACTCGTTTAACTCGAGTGGATGTTATGCAGCCCCGTAGGGAAATGGTTGACCTACAAGAGGCTCCAAAGCACGCGCTGGGAGGTGGTCAGTGTAGTTCTACAAGTTGCTGACTTGACTTTGTAGTGTGTATCTCCTAAGGACAGACCGAGGAACGTTCGTATGTGCAGTGCTTTAATCTGAAAACATTTCTTTCCTAACGGTAGGAGAATATCACTGTCGTTTTTTACCTCATCTCCTGTTTTGTAGAGGTGGCGGGCTGTGTCCTGCCTGATGGACCGTGCTGACGAGAAACTGGTGGAACAAAGCAGTGCTGGGTGAGGAGAGCACCGCCCTCGCAGTGGTGGTGAACCTTTCTCTCCTCTTGCAGCCTCAGAAAAAGAAAATGAAGAAGGACCTCACCGGAAAGAAGAGGAAGCAAACCAGCAGCTCAGATGAACCCGACAGCAAGGCGGCGAAGACAGATGGCTCCGAATCGGACTCTGACAACGGTGAGGGCAGAGGTCCCCAAAGGGGCTTTGCTGAGTGACAGTGGGACCTCAGCTGGGTTCTGACCGTGCCGTTCCTTTCAGAGGAAGGAACCGAAGGAGAATCCGGAGAAAAAGAGGAGAAAGAAGGCTCCAGAGGCGTAAGTGACTCTAGAAAAGTTGTAGCTCCTCATAATTAAGAATGTCAGTTTTAGTTGGAGGCGGAGCGGTGCAGTGAGGGCAGGGGCAGAGTCCTACACCTGGGGGGAAGTGGCCACACACATCAGCACTGGAGAAGCTCTGCAGGGTGAACCTGGGCTTCCAGTGGTCAACAGCTGAGCCAGCAGCCCTTGTGGCCAAGAAGTCCAGTGGTGATGGCTGATGCGTGATTCCGGCTGGCCTTAACGTCCCCATCTTGCATTTTAGGAAGGGGAAGATGAAGAAGGTCGAGACTCAGAGAAAGGTGAGTTGGTGTGCGTGCATAGCAGCTCACAGGAGAGGGAGCAGAGGGATGGTGTGTGCTCTGAATGTGGTGCCCAGCAGCAGCAGAGGGCTCTGACGTGGCAGGAGAGAGATGGAAGGCTGAATCTCTGGTTTATTCAGACTGTTGGAGTCCGTTTCCAACCCAACCATTTTACAGCTTTGTGATATTTAAGGCCCCTTTCAACCCAGCCCATCCCATGATTCTGTGATCTTTAAGGACCCATCCAACCCATCCCATGGTTGTGGGATCTTTAAGGAGCTGTGCAACCCCAGCTGATTCTTTGAAGTAATGGTGGTGACAATTAGTGCCCCTTACCAAGCGAATCTGTAACGAATTGATTGAAAGCCTTCTGCAACCGGAAGCGGTGAGCACTCATTAAAACAAAGAGACAGGAAACCACCTCGGGTGTGTTTGTGTGCCACATCCCCCAACCAGGGATCCTAAATCCGAGGTTCGTTTGTCCCTGCCTGGAGGGAGCAGCTCCTCGACTCCAGCGTCCCTCTGCCAAGCAATTTCGGGCCAAGCACTGATCTTGTCCAGGGCAGTTCTCTTGAATCAGGTGCTGTCCTCAAGTAGCGCCCTGAAATGCAACCTGCTTTAAACACTTAGGTGCTTTAACAATTCAAGAAGAGATCAGTCAAATCAAACGCAAATTACAGGCGGGCAAGAAAACTCAAGAGAGGCAAAAGAAGAGGCACCGAGATCGCATGGTGGAAAGGTAACGGCTCTCGTTTTGTTTCACTGAGCGATGCTGCTTCCTCCTCGGGGAGGAGTGCGATGGTTGCAGGCTGGGTCCTTTCTTTGTTCCTCACTTCTCCCAGTGCTGTGTTTGCTTCTGCCCATCTCCTGGTGCTGAATGTTTGGATGCGTTGCTGCTGGAGGCAAACTCGAGTTGGCGACGTGCAGCCAATGCTGATGGGGAAATGGGCAAATCTCCAGGGCACATCCCACAGATGGGGATCCCCACTTACTGGGGTTGGGGGAGAGCTGTAGGCAGCTCTGCTCTCTGTTAGTGAGCGGCACTCGTCGCAGAGTTTCAAAGTAACTCAACTCTAAAAGGGAAATAGTGGCTGCCACAGAAATTGGGAAGGGGCAGATATTGTCAGCGTAAAGCTCACGAGGTGCACGGGGCGTCGTTGAACCCGAGCCTTTTCTCAACAAAGTATTGCCACTTCCACCTGCAGACAACACCGACTCTTGCCTCAGAAAGTGGGGATTTGTGCAAAAAATGTCACTTGGCAAAGAATTTGTTCTTAAGCTTCGGAGCTCCTTGAGTGCAGTTGTCCTCCGGGAGGAAGCGAGGCCGCCTTCCCACAGTAGAATTCTGTCCCTTTCTCCCAGCCAAGACAGGGAGAATCGTCCTAATTTGTAGTTACAGCTTCGCTTTAATGATTAAAAAAAAAAAGAATTTTTAAGGTCTGCAAAGGTTTAAAAGAATTTGGCCTCAAGTTTTGTGGTGTGCTGCTCCTTCCTGTTAGCATTTGTTTCCAGTCTGATCTCTTTGAGTACGAGCTGGATTTCTTTATTGGGAAGCTCTCTGTAGCGTTTTTAAAGATGGGAACGCTTTCCTGCGTAGGGGAAACCCACTGTAGGGGGGTTGGACTGAGGCTGAGCTCCGGAGGTCCCCTCTGCTCCTCTGCTTTGTGGAAAATCCCAGCATTTCTTCACAAGGAGAGCAGTCAGGCCCTGGAACGGGCTGCCCAGGGAGGCTGTGATGCCCCGTCCTTGGATGTGTTCAAGGCCAGGTTGGACGGGGTCTTGGGCAACCTGATCTGAATGTGTGTGTTTGGTGGCCCTGCTGGGCAGGGGGGTTGGAACTCCATGATCCTTGAGGTCCCTTCCAACCCGGGTGATTCTGTGATTCTGTGATCTGAGCACAACCTCAGCCCCTTTCCCCTCTGCTGGGTTCCCCGCTCCGCCGTTTGTCTGCGTTCCCCCCCAGCGTTTGGGCTGTGGGATGGAAGCCTGCCTTGGGCGTCCCTCCCGCTCACAGCCGCTGTGCCAGCAGGATCCAGTACGTTTGCTCCCTGTGCAAATATCGCACCTTCTACGACGACGAGATGAACAGCCACCTGGAGAGCAAATTCCACAAGGAGCACTTCAAGTTTGTTGGAACCAAGCTGCCCCAGCAGACTGCTGACTTCCTGCAGGTGAGCGCTGCTGAAGTTTCAATCCTCTGTGAATGAGGTTTGGGTGATTTTTGTGTTGCTTTGGGTTTTATTTGCACAGCTGCTACTCCTCACTCTTGCCTTCCAGGAATACGTTGCCAATAAAACGAGGAAAACTGAAGAGCGCCGTAAAGCAATTGAGGACATCAACGCCGTTATCCAGCAGATCTACAGGGACCAGGATCTCACACAAGGTGAGCTCTCACCCCTTTCTGATTGCTGATTAATTAGCTTTGCTGTGGCTCACCGATGGAGCGTTTGATGGTTATGAACGTGGCATAAAAATGGAGCTTGAATGTGGTTTCGAACAAGAAAATTAAAATGGTAGAACAACATTTATCCAATATTTACCGGCCTTAGAAGAAAATTCTGGATTAAGGTTCCTTCCAACCCGAACATTCTATAGCATGGTGATCTTTCAGGACCCTTCCAGCCCAATCCATTCTATGATCTTTCAGGACCCTTCCAGCCCAACTGATTCTATGATCTTTCAGGACCCTTCCAGCCCAATCCATTCCATGATCTTTCAGGACCCTTCCAGCCCAACCCATTCTATGATCTTTCAGGACCCTTCCAGCCCAACCCATTCTATGATCTTTCAGGACCCTTCCAGCCCAACCCATTCTATGATCTTTCAGGACCCTTCCAGCCCAACCCATTCCATGATCTTTCAGGACCCTTCCAGCCCAAGCCATTCAGTGATCTTCAAGCACCTCCCAGCCCAATCCATTCTATCATGTCATGTTCTGTGACCTTCACAGACCCTTCCACCCCAAACCATTCTTTCACTTTATGGTTCTGTGATCTTCAGGGACCCTTCCAACCCAACCTGAAGGTTGGAACCCTCGGGTTATCCCCTGTGTTTGCTTCTCCTTGCCCTCAGCCCCCGTTCTGCCCCTTGGGGAGACTCCTGACGCACTGTGAAGTGAATTTTTGGTAGGAAGGTGATGCACGTGTGGCTCACCTTGTTCCAACCTTCCAGACATCGGTATGGAGCACTTCATCAAGAAGGTGGAGGCCGCTCACTGCGCTGCCTGCGACCTCTTCATCCCCATGCAGTACGGCATCATCCAGAAGCACCTGAAGTCTCTGGACCACAACCACAACCGCAGGGTGAGTGCTGCCTCCTTCCTGCCCTGGGAATCCCTTTTTATTTATATTTTTTGGGGGGGAGGCTCCAGCCACAACAACAGCAGCGATGTGGATTTGTTGGCTCATGCGGCTCCTGAAAATGGGGAGAAATGTTTTTCTTCACCTTTCGGTGCCGCCTGCAGAGAGGCAGCGCTGAGTTCTGAGGGCCCCACGTCAGCTGTGTGAAACAGGGCAAGGCGCTGATGGCAGCAGCTTCAGCAAAGCCCCGCGGTTCCTTCTGAGCACGAGACGTCGCGCCGCCCTCTGCGGAGACGCCGATGCCTCAGGTGGACGAAACGCGTGTTTGTTTCTGTACCCCACGCAGGCCATGATGGAGCAGTCCAAGAAATCCTCCCTGGTAGTGGCCAGGAGCATTCTGAACAACAAGCTGATCAGTAAGAAGCTGGAGCGGTACCTGAAGGTGGGTGTGCAGAGCGGCTGTGGTTCTGCCCATAGCTGAGCTGTGGCGTTTCGGTGCGTTTTGGTAACACCTTTGGGTCCCTCGTTGCTGATGACGGGTTCTTCTGCTCTGTGTGCTGCTGCTTGTGGGTGGAAGCAGCCCCAGAGCCCGAGAGCTGCGTGGTTTGCGCAGATCTACGGCGAGTTTCAAGCTGAAACTTGTGTTTGCACAGAAGTTACGGGTTTATCAGCAGGGAAACGTTTGCCTTCTGTTGCAGGGTGAGAATCCTTTCACGGATGACCCCGAGGAAAAAGAGGAGCACGAGGAGGGAGAAGGGGGAGCGGCTGGGAACGTGGAGGAAGGGACAGCAGAAGGAGGAGACGAAAACAAGGACGAGGAGGAGAATCTGGAAGAAGAGAATGGGGATGATGAGAACAAGGAGGAAAACGTGGGCGATGAGAACAAGGAGGAAGAGAATTTAGACAGTGAGAACAAAGAGGAAGAAATTTTAGACGGTGGAAACAAAGAGGAAGGAAATCTGGAAGATGAAAGCAACGATCCCAAGGAGAACCCAGAAGGAAATGAAAATGAGGAGGAGGAAGAAAAAGGGACAAAGAGGGAAACTGAGGCCCAGGCAGAAGCACAAGAAGTGGAGCTGGGTGCAGAGAGCAGAGGGGGGGAGGAGGAGGAGGAGGAGAGCTGGCAGCCTGCTGGGGAGTCGCTGCCCGAGGATGAAGAGCAGCAGCCAGCAGAAGGTGAAGAGGAGGAGGAGGAGAGTGAAGAAACCGCTGCTGCTCCTGAGGACGAGGCATAAAACATTGGATGGGAAAGCTGACGTGAAAGAACTGGCATCTTTTTTTTAAGAACATTGGAAAGAAGTGTAACTGTATCTGTGAATTTCATAGCACACGTTGAGTTACTGTTCCACTAAACCTGTGTAGGCAGTGGAAGCCTTTACCTGTAAAGTGATGGGGGAAAATAGATTCTTATTTTATTTTTTTTGTTCTGTTTTGTTTTTGTTTTGTTTTGTTTTTAACCAAATCTTCATTTGAGTAGCTAGGTTTTGTGTGGTCTGGTTTTTTAGATGCCTTTGTACTAGGAGAACTTCTCTGAGCATGTGTACCAACCGGCGCATCGTCACCGCCTGGCGAAGGAGAGCTCTTCTCTCTTCCCCCGGACACATTTTCTATCTTTAATGAAGATGTGGTTTGTCCCCTCAGCCTGTCTGCCCGGAGCCAGCAGAAGTTCCCTCGCAGGGCGTCCGTTCCTGCGACGCACGCTGTGAGGTTCTGCGTCGTCTCCGTGTGACTGTAATATTTCCTCCCCGATGTTTTAATGCGGAGCGAAAGTTTTCAGTGGTGTCAACGTTTGTGGTGTTTGTGAAATGCTTTCCCTTGGAGGTGGATGTTGTGGTGGGTGGAGATAAAGGACTACCTGCGACTACCACGACTCTGCCTTCATTTCAGAGCTGGGAGGAGGTGGAGGCTCAGCACCGCTCTGCCGCCCCTGAAGTGTCGTCACCCGGAGCGCAGATCTGCCTCTGGGATGAGGTTTGATTGCCATTTGTGCTCCTGTGAGCGTTAAGGACCCTTCCAGCATAACCCGTTCTCTGCTTCTTTGACCTTCAAGGACCCTTCTGGCCCACGGCTCTGTGATTTTCTGACCCTTACAACCATTCCATCACCTCTAAGGTCCCTTCCCAGTTTATTCCATGAGTCTTAAGGACTCCTCCAACCCTTCATGGGCAGGACATGACACTTGACATCAGCCAGAAGGAAGGGCTCAATCCACAATTAAATCTCTCCTAATTAGGGCATTGCTGCAGCTGCCGTTAAGGTTTCGAGGTTTTTCAAGTGAAACCTTGCTCCTTAATGCACCAACCATTGCTGTGCTCCAGACACGTTGCAGGACGTTCTGTGGAATTTGTTCTCCCTCAAGCACCACATTTCCTCCTCAAATTGCCTCGTTTTTCCCCTCATAATGCCGTTTTTGGGTCACATTTCCCTCTTTTGTCCTCACTCTCCTTTATCTCTCTCCTTACACTCCTCCACTTTCCCCGCATTTTTCTTCCCCTTTCTCCTCTTTTTTCACCTTTTCCCATTTTTCCTTCACGTTTCCTCATTTTTCCCCCATTTATTTTCCTTTCTCATTTCTCCCAATTTTCCCTTCATTTTCCTTCACTTTCCCCTCAGATTTCCTCATTTTTCTCTTCCTGTTTCCTCGCCTTTCTCCATTTTCCCCACTCATTTCTTCATTTTTCCTTATTTTTCCCTCCTATTTATTTATCTCTTCTTTTTCCCCTTCATATTTCATCCCTTTCCCATTTTCCTCTCCTTTTCCTTCACTTTTCCCCTCTACTGTCTCTGTTTTTCCTTCACTATTCCTTATTCTTCTTCCTTTTCCCCCATTTTCCCCTCTGTTTTCCCCCTTGTTGCTCTTTTCCCCCCAGAATCGAACTGAATTCCCCTTTCCATGTTAATCGCAGCCCCTCGAGGAGCAGCAGAGGGACGGGGTCACGCTTAGGGCTGGGGTCAGGGGTCAGAGGTTACGGTGTCACTCTGCTGCCTCAGGGCTGCGCAGCAGGAGCAGGCCGCAGCTCCATAGCAACCGCAGCTTCCGCCGCCGCCGCCCAATCAGGTGCGGAAACGGGCATGATTGACGGCACAGAGGAGCGAGCGGGGCCTACGGCAATTCACCAATGGGATTTGGGGTTGGGCGCGAGGCGGGGCAGCGAGGCCCAATGGGAACTGCGGAAAGGCCGCGCCTCTGGGAGCACTCGACCAAAGGCGCTTCCGGTGGGCGGTGCTTTGGCGTACAGCCAATCGGTGCCTTCCGTGGGCGGGCATAACGGCACGGTTGCGGCCAATCGGCGTCGGGCACGGTGCGCCTGCGTACTGCGCGCTCGAGCGGCCGAGCGGAGCCTCGGCGCTGCGGCGGAGCACGACATGGAGCCGGGATACGGCGGTACGTACGGTCCGGGGGCTGCAGGGGGCGGCCGGGCCCTCCCCGGTACCTCCCGGGGCCTTTCCGATCCCGCGGGGCCTCCTCGCCGCATCAACAACGGTTAAACCTAAGGGGAGGTGTTGTGCCCGCCCTCTGTGAGGGGGAGCCGCAGCCCATTGGCTGAGCGGAGAGTCGCTCAGCTCTGGACGGCCGCTGATAGGCTGATGGGTTGTGGGGCTCCGGGGGATGGGGGGAGGGGGGCGAGAATAGGGGAAAAAAACAGGGAGGGCGGACGGGGGGGGGATTCGGTGCCCCCCCCTTGTGGGTTTACCCTCGTGGGGGTGTTTTGGTGTGAGGGGGAGGAAGCGGAGCGGGGCCCGGTGCTGGAGGAGCCTCAAAATGGCGGCGGTGCGGCCACGCCCCAGCAGAACCCCTGAAAAAACACTGAGAGGCGGGGGATGGGGGGTCGTTGCGACCCCCAGTGCGTGAGGTGACCTCGTAAAATGGGGGAGAGGGAAATGTGCGCGGGCAGGGAGTGCTGGGTTGGGGGAGAAGGGAGAAGCTCAGAAAGTGGGGATTTAGGTGTGATGTGAGGAAGGAAGGTTTTATTGCCTTCAAGGACCTTTCCAGCCCAACTCGTACTTTGATCTTTCAGGACCCTTCCAACCCGATCATTCTGTTGAGCTTTGAGACCCCTTTATATCCAACCATTCTGTGGCACTGTGGTTTTATGACTTTCAAGGACCTTTCCGGCCCATTCTGTGGTTCTGTGATCTTTAAGGACCCTTCCAACCTGAGTCGTGCTGTGATGGTGCACTTCTGTGATCTTCAAAGACCCTTCCAACCCAACTCATTCTGTGATTTTCTGATCTTTAAGGACCTTTCCAACCCAACCCGTTGTGTGGTTCTGCGATCTTCAAAGACCATCCCACCCCAAGCATTCTGTGATTCTGTGATCTTTAAGGCCCCTTCCAACCTATTCTGTCCTTCTTTGGTTCTGTGATTTTTAAGGGCTCTTCAACTCAGCCATCCCATGGGATACCTGTGGCACATCTGACCTGAAGCCAGGCATTTTGGCCTCAAAATCCACCTCACGCTCTGCCCCCTGTGATGCACTCTGTAGATCTTTTTATGAAGGGGTCGATGATGCTCTGGGTGTAAAAATTGCCTTTTATTTCCCAAATATTTCATGAGTTTTCTTCTTGGGAGATACCTGCTGATAAGACACTGCTGACACTGGCTTGTACATAACTGCTCACTAGGGTAGCGCGGATCTCACGCAGCTCTCTGAGTAGGTGTTCCCCAGGGAAAGGGTTGAGCTGGGCTTTGTTTTCTGATTGGTTTTAAGGTAATTAAGGGCAGAAAGTGAAACCGTGTTGGAAAAACACCATATCCTGAAACCAGCTTCCTTACTTTGTGTTCTTCTTGCAGGTTATGGCTCCTGGAGTACTGGAGCCGCCAACACACAAGGTGAATTGCTTTACATTGATATATACATCAAACAAACAAACAAGTGGGGAAATGTCTCTCGGAGCTGAATCCATCTTTCTTCTTTCCCTCAGGTACCTACGCAGCGGGTGCGACAAGCTGGCAAGGTGGGTGCTACACGGAGCTGCCATCCCCAAAAAAGCCCCCAAGCCGCTGTCTGGGAGCAGACAAAGAGGGAAGATGGTGCAGCAAGGCAGCAGCCCTAACTCCTGTCGGTTCTGTTGTAGGCATGGCGGCAAAGGAGAACTACGAGGGGTCCTCGTGGCAGAGCTGGCAGTCCCACTACGAGAGCCCCAGGCCGGACATGGGGAAGGCTGCACAAGGTCAGAGGTCCCTTCAAACCCAAACCATTCTGTGACCCTCAAGGACCCTTCCTCTCCAAACCATTCTATCACTCTATGGTTCTGTAATGCTTAAGGACCTTTACAACCCATCCATTTTGTGATTTCATGGTTCTGTGACTTTTAAGGACCTTCCGACCTATTTCATCATGCCATGATCTCAAAGGACCCTTCCAACACAAGCTGTCCTATGCTGATGGAATTTTTCAACCAAACCAGTTCCAAGATTCCATGGTTCTGTGACCTATAAGGACACATTACCACTCAGGCATTTTTAGGGTTGTGTGGTTTTGTGACCTTTAAGGAACATTCCAACCCAGCCAGTTCTAGGGATTCCATGGTTCTGTGACCTTTAAGTTCAGTTCCAACCCAAGCAGTTCTGGGGTTCCATGGTTCTGTGTCCTTTAAGGTCCATTCCAACCCAACCAGTTCTGGGGTTCCATGGTTCTGTGACCTTTAAGACCCATTCCAACCCAAGCAGTTCTGGGGTTCCATGGTTCTGTGACCTTTAAGGACCCATTCCAACCCAAGCAGTTCTGGGGTTCCATGCTTCTATGACCTTTAAGGTCCATTCCAACCCAACCAATTCTGGGGTTCCATGGTTCTGTGATCTTTAGGGACCCATTCCAACCCAACCAGTTCTGGGGTTCCATGCTTCTATGACCTTTAAGGTCCATTCCAACCCAAGCATTTCTTGGGTTCCATGGTTCTGTGATCTTTAAGGTCCATTCCATCCCAAGCAGTTCTGGGGTTCCATGGTTCTGTGACCTTTAAGGACCCATTCCAACCCAAGCAGTTCTGGGGTTCCATGGTTCTGTGACCTTTAAAGACCCATTGCAACCCCAGCAGTTCTGGGGTTCCATGGTTCTGTGACCTTTAAGTCCATTCCAACCCAACCAGTTCTGGGGTTCCATGGTTCTGTGACCTTTAAGGACCATTCCAACCCAAGCAGTTCTGGGGTTCCATGGCTCTGTGACCTTTAAGGACCATTCCAACCCACCCAATTCTGGGGTTCCATGCTTCTGTGACCTTTAAGGACCATTCCAACCCCAGCAGTTCTGGGGTTGCATGGTTCTGTGACCTTTAAGGCCCATTCCAACCCAACCAGTTCTGGGGTTCCATGGTTCAGTGACCTTTAAGGACCCTTCCCACCTAGGCATTTTTAGGGTTCTGTTGTTCTGTGACCTTTAAATTCTGTTCCAACCCAAGCAGTTCTGGGGTTCCATCGTTATGTGATTTTAAAGGGCCATTCCAAGCCAACCAGTTCTTGTGTTCCATGGTTCTGTGACCTTTAGGGACCCATTCCAACCCAAGCAGTTCTGGGGTTCCATGGTTCTGTGACCTTTAAGGACCCATTCCATCCAAAGCAGGTCTCAGGTTCCATGGTTCTGTGACCTTTAAGGACCCATTCCATCCCAAGCAGTTCTAGGGTTCCATGGTTCTGTGATCTTTAAGTTCAGTTCCAACTCAAACTGTTCTGGGGTTCCATGGTTCTGTGACCTTTAAGGACCATTCCAACCCAACCAGTTCTGGGGTTCCATCGTTATGTGACCTTTAAGGTCCATTCCAACCCCAGCAGTTCTGGGGTTCCATGGTTCTGTGACCTTTAAGGACCATTCCAACCCCAGCAGTTCTGGGGTTCCATGGTTCTGTGACCTTTAAGGACCATTCCAACCCAGTCAGTTCTGGGGTTCCATGGTTCTGTGACCTTTAAGGACCATTCCATCCCAAGCAGTTCTTTGGTTCCATGGTTCTGTGACCTTTAAGTCCATTCCAACCCAAGCAGTTCAAGGGTTCTGTGTTTCTGTGACCTTTAAGGACCATTCCAACCAAACCCGTTCTCGAGTTCCATGGTTCTGTGACCTTTAAGTTCAGTTCCAACCCAACCAGTTCTGGGGTTCCATGGTTCTGTGACTTTTGAGGTCCATTCCAACCCAACCAGTTCTGAGGTTCCATGGTTCTGTGACCTTTAAGTTCAGTTCCAACCCACCCAGTTCTGGGGTTCCATGGTTCTGTGACCTTTAGGGACCCATTCCAACCCAAGCAGTTCTGGGGTTCCATAGTTCTGTGACCTTTAAGGTCAGTTCCAACCCAAGCAGTTCTGGGGTTCCATGGTTCTGTGACCTTTAAGGACCCATTCCAACCCAGCCAGTTCTGGGGTTCCATGGTTCTGTGACCTTTAAGGACCATTCCATCCCAAGCAGTTCTTTGGTTCCATGGTTCTGTTTCCTGAATGGACTCATTCGCACCCAGGCATTTTTAGGGTTCTGTTGTTCTGTGACCTTTAAAGACCCATTCCCACCGAGACGTTTTTAGGGTTCTGTGGTTTTCTGGCCTTAAAGGACCATTCCAACACAACCAGTTTATGGGTTCCACGGTTCTGTGTCCTTGAAGTTCTGTTCCAACCCAAACAATTCTAGGGTTCCATGGTTCTGTGACCTTTAAGGACCATTCCAACCTATGCAGTTTTTGGATTCCATGGTTTTGTGACCCTTGAGGACCCATTTCATCCCTAGCGTTTCTTGAGTTCCATGGTTCTGTGACCTTTAAGGACCCATTCCAACCCAGCCAGTTCTGGGGTTCCATGGTTCTGTGACCTTTAAGGACCCATTCCAACCCAAGCAGTTCTGGGGTTCCATGGTTCTGTGACCTTTTAGTTCCATTCCAACCCAACCAGTTCTGGGGTTCCATGGTTCTGTGACCTTTAAGGACCATTCCAACCTATGCAGTTTTTGGATTCCATGGTTCAGTGACCCTTCAGTTTGATTCCAACCCAACCATTTCTCGAGTTCCATTGTTCTCTGACCTTTAATATCCATTCCAACCAATCCATTTCTAAGGTTCCATGGTTCTGTGACCTTTAAGATCAGTTCCAACTCAAGCAGTTCTGGGGTTCCATGGTTCTGTGACCTTTAAGTTCCATTCCATCCCAGCCAGTTCTGGGGTTCCATGGTTCTGTGACCTTTAAGGTCCATTCCAACCCAACCAGTTCTGGGGTTCCATGGTTCTGTGACATTTTAGGACAATTCCAACCCACCCAATTCTCAGATTCCATGGTTCTGTGACCTTTAAGGACCCATTCCAACCCAAGCATTTCTGGGGTTCCTTTGCTCTGTGACCTTTAAGGACCATTCCATCCCAAGCAGTTCTTTGGTTCCATGGTTCTGTGACCTTTAAGTCCATTCCAACCCAAGCAGTTCAAGGGTTCTGTGTTTCTGTGACCTTTAAGGACCATTCCAACCAAACCCGTTCTCGAGTTCCATGGTTCTGTGACCTTTAAGTTCAGTTCCAACCCAGCCAGTTCTGGTGTTCCATGGTTCTGTGACTTTTGAGGTCCATTCCAACACAAGCAGTTCTGGGGTTCCATGGTTCTGTGACCTTTAAGGACCCATTCCAACGAGTTCTGGGGTTCCATAGTTCTGTGACCTTTAAGGCCCATTCCAACCCAAGCAGTTCTGGGGTTCCATGGTTCTGTGACCTTTAAGGACCCATTCCAACCCCAGCAGTTCTGGGGTTCCATGGTTCTGTGACCTTTAAGGACCATTCCAACCCAACCAGTTCTGGGGTTCCATGGTTCAGTGACCTTTAAGGACCCTTCCCACCTAGGCATTTTTAGTGTTCTGTTGTTCTGTGACCTTTAAATTCTGTTCCAACCCAAGCAGTTCTGGGGTTCCATCGTTATGTGATTTTAAAGGTCCATTCCAACCCAAGGAGTTCTTGGGTTCCATGGCTCTGTGACCTTTAAGGACCCATTCCAACCCAACCAGTTCTGGGGTTCCATTGTTGTGTGACCTTTAAGGACCATTCCAACCTATGCAGTTTTTGGATTCCATGGTTTTGTGACCCTTCAGTTTGATTCCAACCCAACCATTTCTCGAGTTCCATTGTTCTCTGACCTTTAATATCCATTCCAACCAATTCATTTCTAAGGTTCCATGGTTCTGTGACCTTTAAGTTCAGTTCCAACCCAACCAGTTCTGGGGTTCCATGGTTCTGTGACCTTTAAGGTGCATTCCAACCCAAGCATTTCTTGGGTTCCATGGTTCTGTGATCTTTAAGGACCCATTCCAACCCAAGCAGTTCTGGGGGTCCATGGCTCTGTGACCTTTAAGGACCATTCCATCCCAAGCAGTTCTTTGGTTCCATGGTTCTGTGACCGTTAAGTCCATTCCAACCCAAGCAGTTCAAGGGTTCTGTGTTTCTGTGACCTTTAAGGACCATTCCAACCAAACCCGTTCTCGAGTTCCATGGTTCTGTGACCTTTAAGTTCAGTTCCAACCCCACCAGTTCTGGGGTTCCATGGTTCTGTGACCTTTAAGGACCATTCCCACCTAGGCATTTTTAGGGTTCTGTTGTTCTGTGACCTTTAAATTCTGTTCCAACCCAAGCAGTTCTGGGGTTCCATCGTTATGTGATTTTAAAGGTCCATTCCAACCCAAGGAGTTCTGGGGTTCCATGGCTCTGTGACCTTTAAGGACCCATTCCAACCCAAGCAGTTCTAGGCATTCCATTGTTGTGTGACCTTTAAGGACCCATTCCAACCCAAGCAGTTCTGGGGTTCCATGGCTCTGTGACCTTTAAGGACCCATTCCAACCCAGCCAGTGCTGGGGTTCCATTGTTCTGTGACCTTTAAGGACCGATTCCAACCCAAGGAGTTCTAGGGTTCCATGGTTCTGTGACCTTTAAGGACCCATTCCAACCCAAGGAGTTCTAGGGTTCCATGGTTCTGTGACCTTTAAGGACCCATTCCAACCCAAGGAGTTCTAGGGTTCCATGGTTCTTTGACCTTTAATGACCATTCCAACCCAACCAGTTCTGGGGTTCCATGGCTCTGTGACCTTTAAGGACCATTCCAACCCAACCAGTTCTGGGGTTCCATGGTTCTGTGACCTTTAAGTTCAGTTCCAACCCAACCAGTTCTACTATTCCATGGTTCTTTGACCTTTAAGGACCCGTTCTAACCCAGCCAGTTCTCAGGTTCCATGGTTCTGTGACCTTTAAGTTCAGTTCCAACCCAACCAGTTCTGGGGTTCCATGGTTCTGTGACCTTTAAGGACCATTCCAACCCAACCAGTTCTGGGGTTCCATGGTTCTGTGACCTTTAAGGACCCATTCCAACCCAGCCAGTTCTGGGGTTCCATGGCTCTGTGACCTTTAAGGACCATTCCATCCCAAGCAGTTCTTTGGTTCCATGGTTCTGTGACCTTTAAGTCCATTCCAACCCAAGCAGTTCAAGGGTTCTGTGTTTCTGTGACCTTTAAGGACCATTCCAACCAAACCCGTTCTCGAGTTCCATGGTTCTGTGACCTTTAAGTTCAGTTCCAACCCCACCAGTTCTGGGGTTCCATGGTTCTGTGACCATTAAGGCCCATTCCAACCCAACCAGTTCTGGGGTTCCATGGTTCAGTAACCTTTAAGGACCCTTCCCACCTAGGCATTTTTAGGGTTCTGTTGTTCTGTGACCTTTAAATTCTGTTCCAACCCAAGCAGTTCTGGGGTTCCATCGTTATGTGATTTTAAAGGCCCATTCCAACCCAAGGAGTTCTTGGGTTCCATGGCTCTGTGACCTTTAAGGACCATTCCTACCCAAGCAGTTCTGGGGTTCCATGGTTCTGTGACCTTTAAGGACCCATTCCAACCCAAGCAGTTCTGGGGTTCCATGGTTCTGTGACCTTTAAGGACCCATTCCAACCCAAGCAGTTCTGGGGTTCCATGGTTCTGTGACCTTTAAGGACCCATTCCAACCCAAGCAGTTCTGGGGTTCCATGGTTCAGTGACCTTTAAGGACCCATTCCAACCCAAGCAGTTCTGGGGTTCCATGGTTCTGTGACCTTTAAGGACCCATTCCATTCCAAGCAGTTCTGGGGTTCCATGGTTCTGTGACCTTTAAGGTCCATTCCAACCCACCCAATTCTCAGGTTCCATGGTTCTGTGACCTTTAAGGACCCATTCCATCCCAACCAGTTCTGGGGTTCCATGGTTCTGTGACTTTTAAGATCAGATCCAACCCAAGCAGTTCTGGGGTTCCATGGTTCTGTGACCCTTGAGGACCCATTTCATCCCTAGCAATTCTTGGGTTCCATGGTTCTGTGACGTTTAAGGACCATTCCAACCCCACCAGTTCTGGGGTTCCATGGCTCTGTGATCTTTAAGTTCAGTTCCAACCCAACCAGTTCTGGGGTTCCATGGTTCTGTGACCTTTAAGTTCAGTTCCAACCCAGCCAGTTCTGGGGTTCCATGGTTCTGTGACTTTTGAGGTCCATTCCAACACAAGCAGTTCTGGGGTTCCATGGTTCTGTGACCTTTAAGTTCAGTTCCAACCCAAGCAGTTCTGGGGTTCCATGGTTCTGTGACCTTTAAGGACCCATTCCAACCAGTTCTGGGGTTCCATAGTTCTGTGACCTTTAAGGCCCATTCCAACCCAAGCAGTTCTGGGGTTCCATGGTTCTGTGACCTTTAAGGACCCATTCCAACCCCAGCAGTTCTGGGGTTCCATGGTTCTGTGACCTTTAAGGCCCATTCCAACCCAAGCAGTTCTGGGGTTCCATGGTTCAGTGACCTTTAAGGACCCTTCCCACCTAGGCATTTTTAGGGTTCTGTTGTTCTGTGACCTTTAAATTCTGTTCCAACCCAAGCAGTTCTGGGGTTCCATCGTTATGTGATTTTAAAGGGCCATTCCAACCCAAGGAGTTCTTGGGTTCCATGGCTCTGTGACCTTTAAGGACCCATTCTAACCCAAGCAGTTCTGGGGTTCCATGGTTCTGTGACCTTTAAGGACCATTCCAACCCACCCAGTTCTGGGGTTCCATGGTTCTGTGACCTTTAAGTCCATTCCAACCCAGCCAGTTCTGGGGTTCCATGGTTCTGTGACCTTTAAGTTCAGTTCCAACCCAACCAGTTCTGGGGTTCCATGGTTCAGTGACCTTTAAGGACCCATTCCAACCCAAGCAGTTCTGGGGTTCCATGGCTCTGTGACCTTTAAGGACCCATTCCAACCCAAGCAGTTCTGGGGTTCCATGGCTCTGTGACCTTTAAGGACCCATTCCAACCCAAGCAGTTCTGGGGTTCCATGGCTCTGTGACCTTTAAGGACCCATTCCAACCCAAGCAGTTCTGGGGTTCCATGGCTCTGTGACCTTTAAGGACCCATTCCAACCCAGCCAGTTCTGGGGTTCCATGGTTCTGTGACCTTTAAGGACCCATTCCAACCCAAGCAGTTCTGGGGTTCCATGGTTCTGTGACCTTTAAGGACCCATTCCAACCCAAGGAGTTCTAGGGTTCCATGGTTCTGTGACCTTTAAGGACCCATTCCAACCCAAGGAGTTCTAGGGTTCCATGGTTCTGTGACCTTTAAGGACCATTCCAATCCAACCAGTTCTGGGGTTCCATGGTTCGGTGACCTTTAAGTTCAGTTCCAACCCAACCAGTTCTACTATTCCATGGTTCTTTGACCTTTAAGGACCATTCCAACCCATGCAGTTCTGGGGTTCCATGGTTCTGTGACCTTTAAGGACCATTCCAACCCAACCAGTTCTGGGGTTCCATGGTTCTCTGACCTTTAAGGACCATTCCAACCCAACCAGTTCTGGGGTTCCATGGTTCTGTGACCTTTAAGTTCAGTTCCAACCCAACCAGTTCTACTATTCCATGGTTCTTTGACCTTTAAGGACCCGTTCTAACCCAGCCAGTTCTCAGGTTCCATGGTTCTGTGACCTTTAAGTTCAGTTCCAACCCAACCAGTTCTGGGGTTCCATGGTTCTGTGACCTTTAAGGACCCATTCCAACCCAGCCAGTTCTGGGGTTCCATGGCTCTGTGACCTTTAAGGACCATTCCATCCCAAGCAGTTCTTTGGTTCCATGGTTCTGTGACCTTTAAGTCCATTCCAACCCAAGCAGTTCAAGGGTTCTGTGTTTCTGTGACCTTTAAGGACCATTCCAACCAAACCCGTTCTCGAGTTCCATGGTTCTATGACCTTTAAGTTCAGTTCCAACCCCACCAGTTCTGGGGTTCCATGGTTCTGTGACCTTTAAGGACCCTTCCCACCTAGGCATTTTTAGGGTTCTGTTGTTCTGTGACCTTTAAATTCTGTTCCAACCCAAGCAGTTCTGGGGTTCCATCGTTATGTGATTTTAAAGGTCCATTCCAACCCAACGAGTTCTTGGGTTCCATGGCTCTGTGACCTTTAAGGACCATTCCTACCCAAGCATTTCTGGGGTTCCATGGCTCTGTGACCTTTAAGTTCAGTTCCAACCCAACCAGTTTTGGGGTTCCATGGTTCTGTGACTTTTGAGGTCCATTCCAACCCAAGCAGTTCTGGGGTTCCATGGTTCTGTGACCTTTAAGGACCCATTCCAACCCAAGCAGTTCTGGGGTTCCATGGTTCTGTGACCTTTAAGGACCCATTCCATTCCAAGCAGTTCTGGGGTTCCATGGTTCTGTGACCTTTAAGGTCCATTCCAACCCACCCAATTCTCAGGTTCCATGGTTCTGTGACCTTTAAGGACCCATTCCATCCCAACCAGTTCTGGGGTTCCATGGTTCTGTGACTTTTAAGATCAGATCCAACCCAAGCAGTTCTGGGGTTCCATGGTTCTGTGACCCTTGAGGACCCATTTCATCCCTAGCAATTCTTGGGTTCCATGGTTCTGTGACGTTTAAGGACCATTCCAACCCCACCAGTTCTGGGGTTCCATTGTTCTGTGACCTTTAAGGACCCATTCCAACCCAGCCAGTTGTAGGGTTCCATGGTTCTGTGACCTTTAAGGTCCATTCCAACCCAAGCAGTTCTGGGGTTCCATGGTTCTGTGACCTTTAAGGACCATTCCAACCCAGCCAATAATGGGGTTCCATGGTTCTGTTACGTTTAAGGACCATTCCAACCCCACCGGTTCTGGGGTTCCATGGTTCTGTGACCTTTTAGTTCCATTCCAACCCAAGCAGTTCTGGGGTTCCATGGTTCTGTGACCTTTAAGTTCAGTTCCAACCCAACCAGTTCTGGGGTTCCATGGTTCTGTGACCTTTAAGTTCAGTTCCAACCCAGCCAGTTCTGGGGTTCCATGGTTCTGTGACTTTTGAGGTCCATTCCAACCCAAGCAGTTCTGGGGTTCCATGGTTATGTGACCTTTTAAGGTCCATTCCAACCCAAGGAGTTCTGGGGTTCCATGGTTCTGTGACCTTTAAGGACCATTCCTACCCAAGCAGTTCTGGGGTTCCATGGTTCTGTGACCTTTAAGGACCCATTCCAACCCAAGCAGTTCTGGGGTTCCATGGCTCTGTGACCTTTAAGGACCCATTCCAACCCAAGCAGTTCTGGGGTTCCATGGTTCTGTGACCTTTAAGGACCCATTCCATTCCAAGCAGTTCTGGGGTTCCATGGTTCTGTGACCTTTAAGGTCCATTCCAACCCACCCAATTCTCAGGTTCCATGGTTCTGTGACCTTTAAGTTCAGTTCCAACCCAACCAGTTCTGGGGTTCCATGGTTCTGTGACCTTTAAGTTCAGTTCCAACCCAAGCAGTTCTGGGGTTCCATGGTTCTGTGACTTTTGAGGTCCATTCCAACACAAGCAGTTCTGGGGTTCCATGGTTCTGTGACCTTTAAGTTCAGTTCCAACCCAACCAGTTCTGGGGTTCCATGGTTCTGTGACCTTTAAGGACCCATTCCAACCAGTTCTGGGGTTCCATAGTTCTGTGACCTTTAAGGCCCATTCCAACCCAAGCAGTTCTGGGGTTCCATGGTTCTGTGACCTTTAAGGACCCATTCCAACCCCAGCAGTTCTGGGGTTCCATGGTTCTGTGACCTTTAAGGCCCATTCCAACCCAACCAGTTCTGGGGTTCCATGGTTCAGTGACCTTTAAGGACCCTTCCCACCTAGGCATTTTTAGGGTTCTGTTGTTCTGTGACCTTTAAATTCTGTTCCAACCCAAGCAGTTCTGGGGTTCCATCGTTATGTGATTTTAAAGGTCCATTCCAACCCAAGGAGTTCTTGGGTTCCATGGTTCTGTGACCTTTAAGGACCCATTCTAACCCAAGCAGTTCTGGGGTTCCATGGTTCTGTGACCTTTAAGGACCATTCCAACCCACCCAGTTCTGGGGTTCCATGGTTCTGTGACCTTTAAGGACCCATTCCAACCCAGCCAGTTCTGGGGTTCCATGGTTCTGTGACTTTTGAGGTCCATTCCAACACAAGCAGTTCTGGGGTTCCATGGTTCTGTGACCTTTAAGTTCAGTTCCAACCCAAGCAGTTCTGGGGTTCCATGGTTCTGTGACGTTTAAGGACCCATTCCAACCCAACCAGTTCTGGGGTTCCATGGTTCTGTGACCTTTAAGGACCCATTCCAACCAAAGCAGTTCTGGGGTTCCATGGTTCTGTGACCTTTAAGGACCCATTCCAACCCAGCCAGTTCTGGGGTTCCATGGTTCTGTGACCTTTAAGGACCCATTCCAACCCAAGCAGTTCTGGGGTTCCATGGTTCTGTGACCTTTAAGGACCCATTCCAACCCAAGGAGTTCTAGGGTTCCATGGTTCTGTGACCTTTAAGGACCCATTCCAACCCAAGGAGTTCTAGGGTTCCATGGTTCTGTGACCTTTAAGGACCCATTCCAATCCAACCAGTTCTGGGGTTCCATGGTTCTGTGACCTTTAAGGACCATTCCAACCCAAGCAGTTCTGGGGTTCCATGGTTCTGTGACCTTTAAGTTCAGTTCCAACCCAACCAGTTCTACTATTCCATGGTTCTTTGACCTTTAAGGACCATTCCAACCCATGCAGTTCTGGGGTTCCATGGTTCTCTGACCTTTAAGGACCATTCCAACCCAACCAGTTCTGGGGTTCCATGGTTCTGTGACCTTTAAGGACCATTCCAACCCAACCAGTTCTGGGGTTCCATGGTTCTGTGACCTTTAAGTTCAGTTCCAACCCAACCAGTTCTACTATTCCATGGTTCTTTGACCTTTAAGGACCCGTTCTAACCCAGCCAGTTCTCAGGTTCCATGGTTCTGTGACCTTTAAGTTCAGTTCCAACCCAACCAGTTCTGGGGTTCCATCGTTCTGTGACCTTTAAGACCCATTCCAACCCAATCAGTTCTCGGGTTCCATGGTTCTGTGACCTTTAAGGACCATTCCAACCCAACCAGTTCTGGGGTTCCATGGTTCTGTGACCTTTAAGGACCCATTCCAACCCAGCCAGTTCTGGGGTTCCATGGTTCTGTGACCTTTAAGGACCATTCCAACCCAAGCAGTTCTGGGGTTCCATGGTTCTGTGACCTTTAAGGACCATTCCATCCCAAGCAGTTCTTTGGTTCCATGGTTCTGTGACCTTTAAGTCCATTCCAACCCAAGCAGTTCAAGGGTTCTGTGTTTCTGTGACCTTTAAGGACCATTCCAACCAAACCCGTTCTCGAGTTCCATGGTTCTGTGACCTTTAAGTTCAGTTCCAACCCCACCAGTTCTGGGGTTCCATGGTTCTGTGACCTTTAAGGACCATTCCCACCTAGGCATTTTTAGGGTTCTGTTGTTCTGTGACCTTTAAATTCTGTTCCAACCCAAGCAGTTCTGGGGTTCCATCGTTATGTGATTTTAAAGGTCCATTCCAACCCAAGGAGTTCTTGGGTTCCATGGCTCTGTGACCTTTAAGGACCATTCCTACCCAAGCAGTTCTAGGCATTCCATTGTTGTGTGACCTTTAAGGACCCATTCCAACCCAAGCAGTTCTGGGGTTCCATGGTTCTGTGACCTTTAAGGACCCATTCCATTCCAAGCAGTTCTGGGGTTCCATGGTTCTGTGACCTTTAAGGTCCATTCCAACCCACCCAATTCTCAGGTTCCATGGTTCTGTGACCTTTAAGGACCCATTCCATCCCAACCAGTTCTGGGGTTCCATGGTTCTGTGACTTTTAAGATCAGATCCAACCCAAGCAGTTCTGGGGTTCCATGGTTCTGTGACGTTTAAGGACCATTCCAACCCCTCCAGTTCTGGGGTTCCATTGTTCTGTGACCTTTAAGGACCATTCCAACCCAAGCAGTTCTAGGGTTCCATGGTTCTGTGACCTTTAAGGACCCATTCCAACCCAGCCAGTTGTAGGGTTCCATGGTTCTGTGGTGTTTAAGGTCCATTCCAACCCAAGAGTTCTGGGGTTCCATGGTTCTGTGTCCTTTAAGGACCATTCCAACCCAAGCAGTTCTGGGGTTCCATGGTTCTGTGACCTTTAAGGACCCATTCCAGCCCAGCCAGTTCTGGGGTTCCATGGTTCTGTGACCTTTAAGGACCATTCCAACCCAAGCAGTTCTAGGATTCCGTGGTTCTGTGACGTTTAAGGACCATTCCAACCCCACCAGTTCTGGGGTTCCATGGTTCTGTGACTTTTTAGTTCCATTCCAACCCAAGCAGTTCTGGGGTTCCATGGTTCTGTGACCTTTAAGGACCCATTCCAACCCAGCCAGTTGTAGGGTTCCATGGTTCTGTGACCTTTAAGGTCCATTCCAACCCAAGAGTTCTGGGGTTCCATGGTTCTGTGACCTTTAAGGACCATTCCAACCCAAGCAGTTCTGGGGTTCCATGGCTCTGTGACCTTTAAGGACCCATTCCAACCCAGCCAATTCTGGGGTTCCATGGTTCTGTGACCTTTAAGGACCCATTCCAACCCCACCAGTTCTGGGGTTCCATGGTTCTGTGACTTTTTAGTTCCATTCCAACCCAAGCAGTTCTGGGGTTCCATGGTTCTGTGACCTTTAAGTTCAGTTCCAACCCAACCAGTTCTGGGGTTCCATGGTTCTGTGACCTTTAAGTTCAGTTCCAACCCAGCCAGTTCTGGGGTTCCATGGTTCTGTGACCTTTAAGGACCATTCCAACACAAGCAGTTCTGGGGTTCCATGGTTCTGTGACCTTTAAGGACCCATTCCAACCCCAGCAGTTCTGGGGTTCCATGGTTCTGTGACCTTTAAGGCCCATTCCAACCCAACCAGTTCTGGGGTTCCATGGTTCTGTGACCTTTAAGGACCCATTCCAACCCCAGCAGTTCTGGGGTTCCATAGTTCTGTGACCTTTAAGGCCCATTCCAACCCAACCAGTTCTGGGGTTCCATGGTTCTGTGACCTTTAAGGACCCATTCCAACCCCAGCAGTTCTGGGGTTCCATGGTTCTGTGACCTTTAAGGCCCATTCCAACCCAACCAGTTCTGGGGTTCCATGGTTCAGTGACCTTTAAGGACCCTTCCCACCTAGGCATTTTTAGGGTTCTGTTGTTCTGTGACCTTTAAATTCTGTTCCAACCCAAGCAGTTCTGGGGTTCCATCGTTATGTGATTTTAAAGGTCCATTCCAACCCAAGGAGTTCTTGGGTTCCATGGCTCTGTGACCTTTAAGGACCCATTCCAACCCAACCAGTTCTGGGGTTCCATTGTTGTGTGACCTTTAAGGCCCATTCCAACCCACCCAGTTCTGGGGTTCCATGGTTCTGTGACCTTTAAGTCCATTCCAACCCACCCAGTTCTGAGGTTCCATGGTTCTGTGACTTTTGAGGTCCATTCCAACACAAGCAGTTCTGGGGTTCCATGGTTCTTTGACCTTTAAGTTCAGTTCCAACCCAAGCAGTTCTGGGGTTCCATCGTTATGTGATTTTAAAGGTCCATTCCAACCCAAGCAGTTCTTGGGTTCCATGGTTCTGTGACCTTTAAGGACCCATTCCAACCCAACCAGTTCTCAGGTTCCATGGTTCTGTGACCTTTAAGGACCCATTCCAACCCAAGCAGTTCTGGGGTTCCATGGTTCTGTGACCTTTAAGGACCCATTCCAACCCAACCAGTTCTGGGGTTCCATGGTTCTGTGACCTTTAAGGACCATTCCAACCTATGCAGTTTTTGGATTCCATGGTTTTGTGACCCTTCAGTTTGATTCCAACCCAACCATTTCTCGAGTTCCCTGGTTCTGTGACCTTTAAGGACCATTCCAAACCAAGCAGTTCTTTGGTTCCATGGTTCTGTGACCTTTAAGGACCCATTCCAACCCAAGTAGTTCTTGGGTTCCATGGTTCTGTGACCTTTAAGGACCCATTCCATCCCAAGCAGTTCTGGGGTTCCATGGTTCTGTGACCTTTAAGGACCCATTCCAACCCAACCAGTTCTGGGGTTCCATGGTTCTGTGACCTTTAAGGACCCATTCCATCCCAAGCAGTTCTGGGGTTCCATGGTTCTGTGACCTTTAAGGACCCATTCCAACCCAACCAGTTCTAGGGTTCCATGGTTCTGTGACCTTTAAGGACCCATTCCAACCCAGCCAATTCTGTGGTTCCATGGTTCTGTGACCTTTAAGGACCCATTCCAACCCAAGCAGTTCTGGGGTTCCATGGTTCTGTGACCTTTAAGGACCCATTCCAACCCAGCCAGTTCTGGGGTTCCATGGTTCTGTGACCTTTAAGGACCATTCCAACCCAAGCAGTTCTGGGGTTCCATGGTTCTGTGACCTTTAAGGACCCATTTCATCCCTAGCATTTCTTGGGTTCCATGGTTCTGTGACCTTTAAGGACCCCTTCCATCCCAACCAGTTCTGGGGTTCCATGGTTCTGTGACCTTTAAGGACCCATTCCATCCCAAGCAGTTCTGGGGTTCCATGGTTCTGTGACCTTTAAGGACCATTCCAACCCAGCCAGTTCTGGGGTTCCATGGTTCTGTGACCTTTAAGGACCATTCCAACCCAGCCAGTTCTAGGGTTCCATGGTTCTGTGACCTTTAAGGACCATTCCAACCCAAGCAGTTCTGGGGTTCCATGGTTCTGTGACCTTTAAGGACCATTCCAACCCAGCCAGTTCTGGGGTTCCATGGTTCTGTGACCTTTAAGTTCAGTTCCAACCCAACCAGTTCTGGGGTTCCATGGTTCTTTGACCTTTAAGGACCCATTCCAACCCAGCCAGTTCTGGGGTTCCATGGTTCTGTGACCTTTAAGTTCCATTCCAACCCAACCAGTTCTGGGGTTCCATGGTTCTGTGACCTTTAAGGACCATTCCAACCCAACCAGTTCTGGGGTTCCATGGTTCTGTGACCTTTAAGGACCCATTCCAACCCAGCCAGTTCTGGGGTTCCATGGTTCTGTGACCTTTAAGGACCATTCCAACCCAAGCAGTTCTGGGGTTCCATGGTTCTGTGACCTTTAAGGACCATTCCAACCCAACGAGTTCTGGGGTTCCATGGTTCTGTGACCTTTAAGGACCCATTGCAACCCAAGCAGTTCTGGGGTTCCATGGTTCTGTGACCTTTAAGGACCATTCCAACCCAAGCAGTTCTGGAGTTCCATGGTTCTGTGACCTTTAAGGACCCATTCCATTCCAAGCAGTTCTGGGGTTCCATGGTTCTGTGACCTTTAAGGACCCATTCCAACCCAACCAGTTCTGGGGTTCCATGGTTCTGTGACCTTTAAGGACCCATTCCATCCCAAGCAGTTCTGGGGTTCCATGGCTCTGTGACCTTTAAGGACCCATTCCAACCCAGCCAGTGCTGGGGTTCCATTGTTCTGTGACCTTTAAGGACCCATTCCAACCCAAGCAGTTCTGGGGTTCCATGGTTCTTTGACCTTTAAGTTCAGTTCCAACCCAACCAGTTCTACTATTCCATGGTTCTGTGACCATTAAGGACCATTCCAACCCAACCAGTTCTGGGGTTCCATGGTTCTGTGACCTTTAAGGACCCGTTCCAACCCAACCAGTTCTGGGGTTCCATGGTTCTGTGACCTTTAAGGACCCATTCCAACCCAATCTGTTCTCGGGTTCCATGGTTCTGTGACCTTTAAGGACCATTCCAACCCAAGCAGTTCTAGGGTTCCATGGTTCTGTGACCTTTAAGTTCCATTCCAACCCAGCCAGTTGTAGGGTTCCATGGTTCTGTGACCTTTAAGGTCCATTCCAACCCAAGAGTTCTGGGGTTCCATGGTTCTGTGACCTTTAAGGACCCATTCCAACCCAGCCAGTTCTGGGGTTCCATGGCTCTGTGATCTTTAAGGACCATTCCATCCCAACCAGTTCTAGGGTTCCATGGTTCTGTGATCTTTAAGGACCCATTCCAACCCAAGCAGTTCTGGGGTTCCATGGTTCTGTGACCTTTAAGTTCAGTTGCAACCCAGCCAGTTCTGGGGTTCCATGGTTCTGTGACCTTTAAGGACCCATTCCAACCCAAGCAGTTCTGGGGTTCCATGGTTCTGTGACCTTTAAGTTCAGTTCCAACCCAGCCAGTTCTGGGGTTCCATGGTTCTGTGACCTTTAAGGATCCGTTCCATCCCAACCAGTTCTGGGGTTCCATGGTTCTGTGACCTTTAAGTTCAGTTCCAACCCAAGCAGTTCTGGGGTTCCATGGTTCTGTGACCTTTAAGGACGATTCCAAACCAAGCAGTTCTGGGGTTCCATAGTTCTGTGACCTTTAAGGCCCATTCCAACCCAACCAGTTCTGGGGTTCCATGGTTCTGTGACCTTTAAGGACCCATTCCAACCCCAGCAGTTCTGGGGTTCCATGGTTCTGTGACCTGTAAGGACCCATTGCAACCCAACCAGTTCTGGGGTTCCATGGTTCTGTGACCTGTAAGGACCCTTCCCACCTAGGCATTTTTAGGGTTCTGTTGTTCTGTGACCTTTAAATTCTGTTCCAACCCAAGCAGTTCTGGGGTTCCATCGTTATGTGATTTTAAAGGTCCATTCCAACCCAAGCAGTTCTGGGGT